AAATTATTCGTGATATTATGGACTTTGACAAGTTTTTAACCAAAACAGATTTTATTAATTTGATAAATATGAATTTGAGATGGTCATGGATTTTTACAGACTTTATCCGAGCAAATTATTGTTTTTCATTAAGCAAGGCCGGAACCAAACCTACACATTTTATAGTGACAGACAGAAACGTTAAATTTCTGATAAATTTTGACTATATCTGGTGCCCACATTGAACATCTTTTGCCAAATACGATCATTACTAATACAATACTTTTGATATTTAGTTTAAAGCCACGTTCTAATGAGAATTTTACTGAGATAGCCACTACTTATAATTCTATTTTACTAATAATTTAAATAATTACCTATAAGTAAATACATAAACTTGTTATTGTTGCTTTGGTTAATAAATAAAACCGATGTGATTTTACCATTTTATTTACATCTTTTACTTTAGAATATGAATCATCATCAACAACAGCAACTTGGAGCAACATCATCTTTGTTCTTGAGCTTTGGATTCTGCACCGAGCTCAATTCTCTTGAGTTCAAAATTATATTTTGTACGGAACCAACACCCGTTTGACGAAAATTATCTTGTCGTGTAGAAATATTCAATCTAATATAATTGAACGGAAGGAGTGTAGTAGAGTATTCCTTTTAAGTCATTAAAAAGTTGAATAAGAGTAAAAAAAATTACTAAAAATCGTGTACAAGTGCAATATATCACTTTTTAACGATTGTCATGTAAAAGTAGTTTATGTGACTCTAATACAATTGATGACAGTGTAAAAGTCGTAAAAACGTTCTTAGGACGACTCGCCGTTATACCACTGAAATATTGTGTAATGGTCGTGTAAAGCAGTCGTATAGAAGTGCATACGACGTTTTTATACGATTACGAGTTGTATAAGCATAAGGGGCTCAAAGTCGTATTATATGTAAAAATTACTTCAATATGATGTTTATAGCATATTGGGCCGTATAAATCTCAATTAAGCGACGAAAATGTTTGTTGGGATGACAATGTTTATTTTAAAATACTGATATTATCTCTTTATTCCATTAAAATGCTGTAAATAATATTTATATTTATTTATATTTCTGATTTTTTCCATGTGTCTCATCTGATACAACACGTACCTATTATAGCCGAAGAGCCCACGACGGCCAGACATACGACGAACGTCTGGCCGTCGTGAGCTCTTGCTCTATTAGATCTATTTGTAATATGTATTATATTATATGTGGTTTCAGTGAAATCTTAATACGCTACGAGTCACTATTAAGACAGCCCGTTTTATAACTTTCGTGAAAGTCATGTTGCTTACATAATTTTCATGAATTTTGCTTGTCCTATAATTCTCGCGATTAGATGGTGTAGTTGTCTGGCTTGCGTGATTATTTAATTTGAAAGAAACAAATCTTAGGTATGGAAGTGGTAGATTTATAGAAAATGTTTACATTAAAAAAATAAAACGCACTTTTTACCAGTTTATTTATTTTGAATGATACTGATCATATACTGAACGAAGGATACTGTACATATTTGAACTTGCGTTTTGTAATGAAAAGCTAATAAATTTTCTAATTATTAAGATATATTCAAATCGAATAATAATAATATTAATACAATGCACCTACTTAATAATATAATGACAATATGAATCATGCGCTCCACTTTATTGACAGACTATTCAATGTTTCATGTTTCAAATATATTTCGTTATCAATAGAAAGCTGGTATGATATAAAGTTATATAATGTACATACAATACCTACATGTAGCAATATCTTTCAAACGTACAAGCAATATAGCTGAGCACAACTTTGTCTGTGCTTAGAAGAGTTACAGATAAAGTTGAGATTGCTTTTATATGAATATAGCTATGGAAAAACTAAACTGATATTGTCTATAAGTACGGTCTACTCCTAGTGTCTTCTAGTACAAAAGTAATTTTATCTACTATGTACTAGCAGTAGACATAAACAATAGTCACAATAAATCTACTGAAATATAAATAGTAACAATTTATTCCTTAATACGAACACCTAATAGACCACTACTACCACACAGTTAATACCTATAAAAAGTCATTGAAATGATTATCACTAAGTTGAGAATGATAACTATTTAAGTAACATGTATGTAATTAAGCGTAAGTTTCATTGCCCTGGTTATAATATTGCAAATACTATCACTTGAAAACAACATAGACTAGAAACGATTAAGTATCTAGTTGGTTCTGGGAATTATAAATTGTTCCGCGTGTTAGGTGGCATTCTGTTCAAGCGAACTATACGCGTTGTCTCAATTATTCGAATTTATTCGGTAGCCATTTATTTAGCTTGAATATTAAAAAATTGACCCTTTCTAAAAGTAAAACTAATTGTATTTCAATTGTTACTGTTATATAAAACTACACACGGTGCTGCTCGCCCGTTCTCTTGAACTCGGCTTTGATACGTTACCGCGTGTCTAAATAAATTCAGGCATATACCAAAATTTATTGTAAGATCATACAATCTTGGAACGACTACTTATTTCCGGAAAATTTAACCGACTGTGTTAGACAATAAGAAAAAGTGATTAAATATGTTTCAGCAAAGTTGTAAAATACCTTATCAAATATTACTAATTATCATTAACAACAAACGTATTCTGTTACCTAAAGTAAGCGATTTATTCTAGACACTTATTTTAAATATCTGTTGCGTAGATATTTATGATTTTGGATATTCACAACATTACGTTTACTCTTTGAGCGGATATTTAGGTACACATTTAAATTCTTTCCCTACGATACCGTTGTCCATTCCTGACGCTATAATCTATTTGAAGCTGACTGTACTATCTAACTTTAATGGGAATATTTAACTATAATAACATTGATTTTTATCATTAATTATTCTAATTAGAGATAAATTCTAAGCAAAAATGCAGATATCTATTGCACTGTGACTTAGACGTTTGGTACAGCTATAATTGTACAATATGTTATTACAGCACAAATATTATTTGGAGAACATAAGCCATATCGACAAAAAAGTTAAAAACATATTATTGTTACAATAATTTAATTAAGTAGGTGTATCGAATGATTGCATGTAAAAATAATAAATTGCATTAACATACAGCATATATACAAAAGACTATAACTATGATGATTGACATATTATGAATTAAAATTAAATTTGTTTAACATAATATCCATACTAGCTGGATACATAGCAAAATGTCTTTTTTTTTCTAATTAACTGTTGCCATAATTATGTGGTGAGGCTGTGCTACTGTATCTGTAATTACTTTTATGTTTTGTAATTTTTTATACAGAAACACCAGCACTAAATATAATATGAGATCGTAATGCTTAAGAGAGGCTTAGGGCGGCCATTCTTTTCTATTCTTCTGCTTAAAGAGAGTCGGTATTATATATAAAATGTATTATTTATCAATTATAATCGCAAAGAACACCTGATCGGGCCTTGTGTACAAAACATATGAGAAATAAATGACCACACCTAAGAGCGAATGTAAACAGTAGATTTGAGGAAACTAGAAAAATAAAGCATGAGGCGGAGATAGCGCTCAATGTTACTCTATTATTTATAAGAAATCTACAACAACATTATAAACAATATTTTGATCAAATAAAGAACACATTATTATAAAATTGCAAAAGAATTATTCTAAATCATTTACTGCACTTATCAGTTAATATCCGAGAGAGAAAGTACTTTATTTCTTTTTTTTTATACAATATATAATATATTGAGGAGTCGAAATGTCGTGTCCAAATATTAAAATCTTTGGTATTATATTAAAAAGTGAGCCAAAGATCACCAAATCTGCACAGATGTATTATATAAGTCATATGCTTGAATTGAATGCTTAACGTTTCTTTTATTTACTAGGGCATATATACCCTAATAAATTATTCAAACTTACACCATTACATTTAAAGTATACAGTATACTATTTTAAGCACATCGTAATTTTACGTGGTTATTATATATTGCCTAAGAGTAATGTTTAACAAGTAACACTACACTAATAAAATACTGTGTTGACTTTTATTAAATTCCAAAATGTGTAAACAGGTCACATAACACATTTGTCCTAAGTCGTAATTTGTGCGCGTAAATACCGTAAATAATTTATACTTACAACAAAATACAAAATAATACAAAATCATTACGCAATTCCAATATTATTAATACGGTCTTTTGTGAGCAATCGTAATATTACATTTTTCTTAGATTAATAATTTCAGAACAAGTCAAATCATTTTACCTCTATCATTTTGAACCAAACATTTTAAAAATATCCAGGAATAACATTTCACCTATATTAAGATATTACAATTAAACAATTTTACAAAGTTATGAATATTTAATTAGATTAAAAATTAATAAATTGTGATGTTAGTTTATTTATAAACAGCTGAATAAAACACTACGTCTGACTACACTTTAATACTATAACGATACTAATACTCATTTCATTTATTTGCAAAAATATAAGTCAAAGACAACTCTTTTTAATATTATATTATATACAAAAAGTTTTATTAAACTATGCATATAGTAAACTTTTAAGCGATTTCATAGAAGAATAAGAACCTTTGAATTAAAGCTTTAAAGGCCACGACAGACATGATTTACATTACGTAAGCACCGCATATAAATGCATGTAATTATAGTTTGTCAGCTTACAGTTATAAGAAAATCTCTCTAATTACCTCTAATATATAAATATATTGATTTCTATACCTTTTACATTACTAATGTATTAAGTATTCCCATCCAGATATGTCTAACTTAGAAAATAATCATATAAGTTAGACATAAGCAGATGACAGTAGAAACTAATATAAAAATATTGGATGAAATAAAATATACACATTATACATACGTTAGGCCGCGTGCAAGGCAACCTACAAACTATTAATCATATTAAATGTCCTCACAAATTCATACCAAATGGTACTTGTGTTAGTGCAACTGTATTTGTGTATATTTTCATTCACATTTGCAAACTACGTCAATTGGTCAAGTTTATAAAATATCCAATGATATTTTAATTTTATTCAATAAAAGTACAAGAATATACAATTTATTCATAAATGTAAATAGTTTTATTTTAAACATTCCATCACTTATAAAATTTATAAATATTTTATTCATACTAAAATATAAAAACAATTGCAGTTATATGGGTACAATAGTATGGATTGAATGTTAGTAATTACAAAAATTATTCACAATATTTATTTATAAAATTAAACTGCATCTAATCGTTTACAGTAAAGAATAAACGGAACTTTACAGTAAAGTACACAATATTATGTCTCAATGATCACAGAATATACAATCAAGTAAGTACTTACATCAGTACTTCAAGATGAATAGGATAATTGTTTGTTTTTTGTAAAAAACTATATTTCAGCAATAACCACGAGAGTATACTTAACATCATATTGATTAGCTGCTGTTTATAACTATAATTTCACACTAGAGCGCTGATGGTAAGCATTTGTCATATAAGACTAATAAAAAAAATCCCTCGACCAAATTAAAAACTAATGTAAAATGTATCACATTGATATTATTTTGTGTTTGTATAAAGGAAATAAAGAAAATTGTGATGATTTTATTTAAATAGTCATTATTTGAACTACAGAACAAATCCTGATACTTGATCAAACTAAACACAGTCATTGTCTTTGTCACGTTTTGCACTTGTAGTAATGTATCTTAATCGTTAATTTAACAGTCAATTAAATCGGAATCAACTCCTTAGTGCTAGCTAACAATGTTCCATTCGCGTGTCATGCACCTCTAAGTAGCGTTAGAAAAGTAATTTATGTTACTGGAGTTTTTATTATTGTATTTTAAGAAATTCAGTATTAAAATTACATTTATATTCAATAATACCATTTACGTGTAAAAAAATAATATATATATATAAAGTATTTGTGTATATTCCTCTACTAACAAGCGATCTTCACACCACTACAAGCTTGACTTATCTTTAATGCTCTTATTTATATTTGATATTCAATAAAAGTGCTTATAAATTCAGAATCACAGTTCAAATGGCGGTTATTGCAAATAAAACATTATTTACATGTACTATATCTATCACGTGCAATGATTGCGACTCGGACGGCGCCTTATCAAACCGAACCTTGGCCTTATTGTAAAATCTGGTTTAGCTCGCAACATCCGTGTCGGATCATATACACTATAAAGGTTTAGTTTGATCAAGATGGAAATATTATTTAATAAAATGTGTATAACTTGTATATCTCTTATTATAATTAACAATAAATAATTAAAAAGGCTTGCTTCCTAAAAAATATAGCAATAATAAAATCGTTGGCTAAATAAGAAGACGGTAAGTATCAGACTATAGCGGTATATATCCCCAGTTGTGGGAATAATGTTAAGTATAAAGAATTAATAAGGACTAGACCCGCTTTTCTAAGGTTGTTTGTACGTAATTATCAGCAGATTATTAATAGTTTCAATTACAATAAATATATATTTTCTTGCATATTTAAGTAAATCAATTATACAATCTGAAATATTAACGCTCATTAGCATTCATTATCAAAATATTTCTCTTAAAAACCGTAAAATATATATTTTTCACCTTTGTCAATTTAAGTACCTACATAATCACTACGTTTATTATTGCATGTTGTTTATGCCGTATATCACTCAAGTAAAAAGTACGTTCGTGTAACTTAAAATATAGAGGCATAGATTAAAATGCAAAAAAAATCCTTCAAAATACGTTTACAGTAACACTCATTGGTTATTGATATTTTTATAATACTGTCATGTATATTATAATAGAGTGAACTTGTTAGACGCGGTAGAACCTGCCAATACCTCAGCCATTGGTAGTACAAGGAAGACATTCTTAAGAATCATTTAGGTAATATTAGTGTTCAAAATATAAGAAAATTCAATAAACAGTCCTATTCATGTAGTAGTAGGGTAGTTGGGTAAGTTGCGAAAGTTTGACGTAACGAGATAGGAATGGTGATCCTGATAAATGCTGAGAGTCCATTGAAAAACTAAGCCAAAGTATTATAATAATAGTTGTAAACAGCTTGTGATTGTAGGGACTAGTTTGTCAGAATACCTACAACTAATTAATTTTTTTTTAATTATTTCCTAACATTTGTATTAATATATATTCCTTAATATACTAACGGTTATTTGTACTTTTATATAATACTTTAAAAAAATATTTTGATACAATATCATCTATGGAGCTCATACCAGATTCATCTCGGCAGGGCAGGTACATTCTAAATCTGAAAGCGACTATAAAATATTATGACATATAAAAATGCGTCTAAACAAGTCTACATGAAGTGATTGTTCAATTTTAATTTACATTTACGTAAACGTATTTAGAACTGGTTCTCTTTAGAGATATAAGAGAGAGGTATTATATTACATCTCTTTTATGTCTAAAGGGAGTACTCTTATACGAACAACCTATGACCACTCCAAATATTCGCGAACTTTAATTCAATTCCGTATTCCATTCAGTTGTGGCTGCTCCTGGATGCTTCGGCGTCTTTCCGAGTTATATTAAATGCTTCTGTTTTGAGAAAATCGACAGTTTTGTATGCGGAGTCCGCATCGATCGCTGATGGTAGCTTAAATTGGGAAATATCCATTTTCTTCATAGGGACATCATGTGACTGAAAATACAATATTGAATTAAGTATCATAAGAAACAACTAAACAGTGTTGAAATTATTTGCAACTGGTTTTTATGCAACTGCATTTCAGTATAGTATCTATTTATATGAAAGTAAAATATGCAAAAATATGCGAAATAGTGCGGTCGTGCATAAAAAAAAACACAAAATAATAATAAAAAAACATAAGCGTTCCTCAGGAATGACTATATTAGTGGATGAAAACCGCATGGAAATCCTATGAGCAGTTTTCGACATTAACGTGAACATACATACAGACGCACATAATGAAGTAATAAGTTTAATTGTATTTATACAATAAGGTATATATTTTAAGTTACCTTTGAAGTTATGGGCTTAGACATGTGAAGATCCAGATCTAAATATTGTAAGACATCAGCCTTCACTTCATCAGATTGTCCACTCTGTAACACCAACTACAAAATAATACAATATCAATAATAGATAATAACAACATCCATTAATTTTTCTTTCCATATCTCTCCATCATAAATGCAATGGTTTTTCTCAAAAATCTTATATGCGAATTGTGTACTTTATGGTAATTTACCAATTAAATATAAAAAAAATATCCCCGGTCAATCCACACAGCGCCATCTAGGGCCAAGTTAAGCAGATATTTTGTTATAGGAACTACACAACTGATAGAAATATTTAGACTTTTCTTCGTATATACACAATACATCCTTTCTGCTTTTATAACATTAGTATGAAGTAAGATAATATAGCTATAGATGAGTTTAAGTAAATTGGTGAACCAGGCAGAAATGAAAGAAAAGTGAAAAAACAATTTAATACCTGCATATTCTATATACATAACATACAATATTTTCATAACTCATTACTGAATCTAATAATGTTCAGAATAATAATTTAATAAAACTGATTATGCCTGTGTCAGCGATATAATTTTTTTTTTACTGGGTTGTTTGGGCTATTTTCAGGTGTCTATAGTACCTGTAGCACTGTGACCTACATAGATCTATTGTGCTCGCCCTTTTTCAGAGGTCGCTACCTAGACCTGTCAAGGACAAGAATTGAAGGATATTCTTAGGAGCGATGGCTTTTGTCTCCTCAGGAAAGAGTGTAAACTTTAACTAAACGAGATATTTCGTTTATGCATGAGTGGGCTACAACCACATAGGATATGTAGTGGCGTTTCCTCTTCAGTTTGGCAGAATCTGCAGATTTTTGTCATGCATAATGATATAACATTACACCAATACAAATTAGATGTGAAATAAGCAGGAGGATAATTATGATGAACTTGTGATAATACCTGTCCACTTAGATTGTGTATATGGCCTATACTGTGGCTGGAGTGTCGTGGTTTGAGCGCTCGATCTACTGCAGGCGGGAGTGAAGATAGGTTGCAATATTGCATTGACTGCAACAGATAATAAAAATACATTAAAAAAGGAAAAATACTATGTTAGTAAATTATTGGTTTTTATGTAACAGCAGAGGTATATATCTTAGGTCTAGGTCTTTCTTACGTCGTCTCATCGTCCGTGTTATCATGCGTTCATACCGTGTAATTTCAGTGCCATATTTCATGTCCCATACAGCATTCAAAGCAAACAGTTTAACGGCATAAATAGAAGAGACAGAGGTGGCCATGCAGACGAATTTGTAAAAACAATAGCTCAATGAAAAATAGTATTATTGTAACATTACTTTATTAATTTCATTATCACACCATCCTGTTGGAATGGACATTGTACTTAATAACATCTAATAAACAAAGTAACCATATGAATACAATGAACAAATTGAATCAATTTCATTGTCCCTCTGTTTCCATTTCCCTACCTCGCTACAATTCCTGTTACGCTATCTGTATCTGTTTTCCCTAAAAATTTCACATATCTGATGTATATAATAGCAAACTAAAAAAGTATATTTTAACATTTATTATAATACATACACATTGCCAATCTGTCCGAATATGCCTGAAGCGATTCTACTTATTATAGACTAGCTGTGCCAGCAACTTAGTTCGGACTGGACTATTCAACACAAAAAGATTTTTTTCAATTCGAACCAGTATTTCCTGAGTTTAGCATTTTCAAACAAACTATCTCTTCAGCATTATAATATTTGTAAATATGTAGATATATAGAAAAAATATATAGTACAGAATTTATACAGGACAATAAAATTGCGTGTTGTATTTTATTATACGATGTCATTTATTTTCTGGATACATACCAAATTACCAGCACATAACTCGTCCTCGTCATCAGTGCTACGCAAAATGTTTGGCGACAAGTGTGATCTATTCGAGAGTGAAGGTGCACCACCATGCGACATGCGTCGTGGCCAACGTCTCAATGAAAGGCTCTGCAAATAAATCTCAATTAAATACTTTGTTCTTATAAAGACAGAAATCGATGGCAGTAATTTCTACCTAGCATAACAGTGTAATTAAGCACATAAATATTTAAATAAAAAAAAAGATATATACCCTAGGATTCATATAATATAATTACATGAGTAACAAAAGTATATTTAAAATTAAAAATTATGGTAAAATAATATTCATATGTAAGTTTACATTTCGAAATTTATTTTTACATTCATTTATATTACATATAGTTACTTACACCAACATTTTCTTGGATTTCCATTGGTTCCTCTATTTTGGGGCCTTGGAAAATTTCCTTCTGTAAAAAATCTTTACTCATGGTAAATGTTTTTGGTGGTCGAGGTGGTACTGGAGGACCTAAAACATAATAATCATTGATACACCAATAATATTTTAAATTAATAATTGACATAGAACTACTGGATGTAGATCTTACCATCTTCAGATACGCCGTTCATTCTAGGACTTATGGATAATTTTTTGAATGATTTTTGTACAGTCCAGTCCCCTGTGACGAAGCAAATCAGTTTTGAAATGTATTTAGTTCAAATTATGCAAAAGAAGTGTCTCAAAAGGCAAGATTATTTAAAAAAAACTGATATAAATCATAAAAAGCATAATATTTGCATCATGTGTACATAAAAATTGCGAAATAGAGGTAATTATATAATATATGTAATTTGAATGCCAATCAAGGTGACGGCCCACATGGTGTTACACGAGAACCATCGCCTATATGCATTAACAGCATATACTATAGATTCCTGAGGACTGAAATATTATGCCTCTCTATACCCTGTAATTTCACTGGCTTACCTCACCCCTCAGCCCAATCACAGTTTACAAAGATAGTGCTTTAGGGATGGCTGAAATGGGTGATACTGGATGAGGCTTTGACAGAAATTTATAGAGTATCACTTACAATCTATAAAAAATGGATACACTTCTCCTGAATCAGAAACAGTTTCACTGAGAATCATTGTGGAAATCTGAATGAAAATTTTTAGAACTCTTCATACTCAAAGAAACATGTGACATGGCTTTGTAAGAAGCTAATCTATTTTGACTGCCTTGGGTCTTTAGCAAACCACCTTACGTCTGTCAGTCATGGGTTTGATAACTTCCAAGATGCAAATAATCGTACTTTTAAATAATAAGTATGTTTGTTTGTATTGATTTGAGTGCTTTCTATGTATATATAAGTATTTACAAAAAATAATTTAAGTATTTCCAGCATTTGTTTCCATACATAACACAAGCTCTGCATGATTGTGAATTTCACCGAGGTGCGTGCTACATCCACGCACAAACAATTATAAAACACCAAATTGAAAATTGCATAATAATTATATTTTTTACTAGCTGTACCCATCCGCGAAAACGTCCGCGTAGATTTAACTTTATTTTTCTAAAATAAAAGTAATCTAAGTTACTCCATATTACTTACATAAGCTACCTGCCAAAAAAGTCCCGTCAAAATCGGTCCAGCGATTTCAGAGATTAACCGGAACTAACAGACAGACAATAATTGTAAAAAAAAATAGTTTGGTGTATGTACTGTATTACATGTGTATGGTGTATGTACCCATATGCATGTAGTAAAAAACGGTTATTTCAATATTCCAAATCGACACTCCAATTTTATTTATATGTATAGATTATAATGTCGACATACACAGCGGTATAGCAAAATTAAAGATGAACAGAGAACAAAAGACAATCGTGCTCTTGAGAACACAGAGTTCTCTATTTGAAAATTTAATGAGGATTTAATAACTATTTCTGTTGTAGATTTAAAAAGTACTAGATGATTGTTTAAGTTGTGTAAATTGTCCATGTAATATCCTATACTCACGTATATTTGATTGACTAGCATTCAATGATTTCCACTCCTCGTCACTTAGGTTTGACTCATTCTCAGAAAAATCAGCATTGTTAAGCCTTATGTGTGGTTGACTCATGTACATTTGCTGGCTTCTTGTGTCGGATGCTTTTTCAAATTGTGACCTGGCGCTCGTTACTATATTTTTCGGATCAAAGGTAAATGCTCTTCGGGAGTCCTATTAAATAATACTGCATTAATTACCTAATATGACATTTCATAATTTATGAGATAAAGAAACAAGGAAAAGTACGGATTAAATTTGTTCATGAACAGTAATTACTGTGCAATCTGCACTGAGAATATTATGCAACAATAAGAATAATTGTATCCAACTAAAAATAAATATTATCCCTTCAGGGCTTAGTAGACTTAGACTATTAACCTAGAACTATTAACGCATCGATATATTTTCATAGGTTGAATCACAACATGATTCCCATAAGGCAGCTGATATACAGTCAGTTAGAAGTTTGTCAGAATGCGACTATCTCGATAGTCGGTATATCAGCAGCCTAAAACATAGATATTTCTTCATAGGTAAATTAACGCTCATAAGCGATTTAATCAGATATAGACAATGATATATACCTGTGCTCGTACTCCGGTAATACATTCTGATATCGGAATGTACGGACCTGTACATTCGTACTGGTCGTTCATGGCTGAGAGGGCACTCAAGTTATTCTGATAAGGACCTGAAAATTACAACATAATATATATAATAATAATATATCAGGAAAAATTCATATTGCGCCATCTAGTCTCAAATTAAGCGACCTTGTGTACTAGACAACGACATAATTCCATAGATACTTTTTTATAAATACATAATACACATAGAAAACACCCAGCTCGATACAAACCATCATACTCATTACATACAAATATAATACAAATGTTTCGAACTCGCAATCATCAGGAGGCAGTGTGCTAAATCGCTAGACTACCAAGGCTGTCAATATAACATATGTAATAGGAGTCTCTAATTATATTTGTGTAAATTATGTATAACTATATAGTGAATAGTTAAACTAAGGTGTCTTTGTGTGTTTCACGTTTTTAAATCTGTACTGAATCTTTACAGATCCTTTACCGGATGTATTTAATAAACTGAGACTTCCTGGCAGTTTAACTCTGCACTAACTAAATTGAATTAATTAATTTAATCCTCGTCGCCATTCAGGTAGTAGTAAAATTATTCAATTCAATCTAAATTATTAAAGAGTATCATGAATTGTGTTAAAATGTGTGTATGCTTTGCTTCTAAGAGAGAATTAAAGTAATTTCCAACTACCTCAGTCAGTTATCTATCATATCAAATGACCTTATTAAAATACTTTATCAAGTAGCTGAACCATCAATAGTCTGCCGTGGTTGTTATTTAAGTAATAATGTTATATAAGTTCCTATTGAATAATTTTTATTTATTCCTATTATGACTAGTACAGGTATAGTAAATGTTAAATGAATTCCAATATATTATTTTATACTTCTAAACTACAAGGCACTTAAATCATAATGCAAATAATAAATAGAATACAAGTAAAAGAAGTGAAATATTAGACGAATAACAATCGCAAAACAGACCGCTATACAAAAAAAAAATAACGCGAGCCAAAAATAATATTCAAAATATTTTAACACTTAAATTGACCATTCCATAATATGATCTAAATACGATATACAATTTTGGGATAATTAACGAATTTCGGAAACGAAGGAGTACTATTGCATATGTACATAGTATTTGCTTCTTAAAATTCCCATACGACAAAACAGCGAAACTTTCACATTCGCCGTCGGTCACAAGCCATACTGATCGGTACAAACGCAATATTGTACCAAAATATTATTAAACTTTGCGCATGTGTAATGTTTTGACGAAGTTTTTTTATACTTTTCATTACCGCCTTTACGTGCTGTTAAAAAGTTTAAAAAAACGTCGTCAAAACATTTCAGTTTAACTATACCCACAGCAAAGATTATTCGCAAATTCACAAGAACAGCACCTTCGCTTAGGGTAGTGCCTCAACAAAATACGCAGATTTCTTGCTGCAATATTGCCAGGTCAATGATATATCAGAATCAGTTGCACAATTACTCTTGATTATGCCATAAATGCAGCAATCAATTACAATGCCAATACCATCTCTCAATACAATTGAACGCGCGCACATGCACATATATCTGCGCATATAAATATATGAAGCCAATGTGTCGCGACAGCAAAAATTGTTTTGTAATAAATATGTAACGGATATCCGTAATATAGTATTTCAAATATATGTACAATGATCTACATGAAGAATGTATAGAAATGTTGTAGGTATTCTGTAATTTACAATGCTATCATGTTTAGAATTTTGAAAATGTTCTCATAAGACAGAGTGATTATCATTCTATTTGTAAAAGTAATGCCTTATTAATTAACAATAACTAGTAACAGAGACATTAGAATTATTATTAATAGACGCATGCAAAAATCGAGCATAAATAATAAACTAAAAAATAGCAGTAAGATAAATCATCAACAAGCGGAGTAAGTGTCGGCATTATAAGTACAACATAGAAAGTCTAATATGAATTAAAGAGATAATAATTTATTTAAACATACCTTTTAGCTAAATTCTTATCTCTTTACATTTAAATACTTCTTGTCTTAAACTACGCAAGCATTAAACAGTAGTTTTTGTCAAAAATATGGGTTAGATTTTGAACTACGCAAGCATTGTGGGTTTTTCACAAAAATGTTTCTATTGCTCAGTTTTAATGTAAATTCCAATAGTACTTAATATATTGATGAAGAATATACAAATATGAAAACTGAGGTAGACTGTAAAAAGGCATCCGGATGAATCTCACCTATTTCATCCGCCAAGCATTATAAGTCGTGTTTCGGTTGTAGGGTGAGATTAGTTAGTGAAATCACAGAATATCACGCATGACATCTTAATCCACTAGAATAGCACAAGGGTTACATAGTGTTGTTCATCAATATAGGCGACGGTTACCGCTCACCATCAAATGAGCCGACAGCTTGTTCGCCATTCCAAATGACTCAATAATAGACTACTGGTATACAAAATATGTAAACAAAGTATTATAATTTTCATGATAATTTTTATCCATCACAAAAAAATATATCAAGTTTTTAGAAATATATATATTTAATAGAACGAGATAATATATTTGTTAACAGTAAGACGCGGCATGCTCTCCTTATGTTGTGGCGATGTATATTTTTTACAATAATATTAAATAATAATCAACATAAATATAAAACAACAAGCATTTGATGGATGTAAAGTCATGTAAGGGAAATATTGTTTTATAATTTCTAGCTAATAAATTATTATAAAATTCACCTAGAACATTTGAGGAGTCATCTGTGGCCCGGAGTCCACAAACTCTGCATATAGCGTCGACCCACTTCTCCATTTCAGCTTCGCAATCAGCCTCGAGGTGGTACGTTCGTGACTGTGTCTGGATTGTGAATACGGAGCCGCGCAGCTTAGGGTCTAATGTGCCATTACCAGTACGTTCCATATGCAATCCCGCGTCCACCTGAAACAACGCACAAGTAATAATATAATTACGTCGAAGTAATAATAATAACAGATTTTTTTAATTATACAAATAATTATGTTTATACATGCAATAGTATAATATTTTTTTTGTAAACAATATAAACTACAATAAATTCCCGAAGTATAAAAAACAATAATTTCAAAATAAATATAAACCTTAAAAAAGTAATACTAAAATCTTTTAAAAGACTTGCTATTTACAAACCTATGTCGGCAAGTTCGACTCGTACATTAAGTTTTTTTAATAATCTCGATGTTTTTATACCTACTACTCGTTACTTCTAGAGAAGACACCATTCAAATTCAAAAAGAATAGATCCCAGCGATACTATAGTTTAGATAATAGTACAAGAATATCTCTAAATTGACTAAGAATAATGCTTTTAGTGTTACACTACCTACCTACTATCTCCTTACCATACTTGCTACTTACCTTCTGCCATACCTCTTCAAAACAAAACAAAAAATGCACTAAATATTACGAATAGACGTTAAAAAATCTCTAATTCCTTATTAATGAAAATTCTATGTGTTAACCACACAAGCTTTCGCGTCGATCTGAATGGAAAGTACAAATCGCAATCCCTTCAACGCAACACTAGAATGGTAATTCGAACTCAATAACTAAATTAAGCTTAATCAGTAAACACTAATTCCCAAGAACAACGTAAATTTAATATTGTTACATTGTTCACTTGATTACAAAAGGGGCACATTTGTAACAGGAAAATTTACTAATTATTGCACAAGGAAACACCATACCAATATTTCACAGGAATTGCAAAGGATTCTAATGTTAGATTATTACAGTTGCAGTGCACGCAACTTTGTGTATATAGAATTAAATGCCTACAACATACGTGTAGACTACAGTCTAAGCACAAGAAAGTTATAAAACATTGTTGAATATTAAAAACCTAACTTAAAATAAGTGTCCTTGCGACTGTAATGCCCGATGGGGTGGGTCGGAGGCAATGACGTCTGTTATGAATTGTTATTTTTGTGAATGCAACTGCGGATTTGCCTCCATTTTTGCGAGCATAATTGATTCTAACATAGCAGTATCAGACGGAGATTTTTATAATGTGGTTTGACAAGATGTTTACCGTTTGGCGACAGTTGATGGGAAAATTGACACACTAGGAATAATTTAGTGAGTCGGCCATTCGCACAAGAAATTCCCCTCCCTCTTACTGATTACAAAAATTCAGATAACTATAATGATCTATATTTTTCCGCAATTTCGTCTACGTTATCTGGACAATTTAGCAACCGGAAGAATAAGTAGCTTATTCTTTGCCTTATCGTAAATAGGCGGACACGATGATATATTACTTGGCCATACAAGATATATTTAAAGTGCTTAAATTAAGTTTATTCGAATAAAGGATTTTCTATTCTATCATTCCTTATAGCTATGTAACAAAAGTGACATTTGTTCTAATTATCATGGTTTCAAATAATTCAGCATCACATTACCTTTTATACTAACATTTCATATAGTCATTAATAAATATAAATTGCATTGATATAATGAAACTGTAATGTAATAATATCCGCGTTTACACCATTTCCAAGAATTTTACTTTGTTCATGCGATAATATTAATAATACTATCATTGTTATTAGTTGCTACTGTTAAATGTATTATTTTTACTTAGTATGGTGGAGGTAATATAATGGTATTTTAAAAGACTAGCTAGACACATTTGTCATACAAATTTTGACATGTCACCTGTATCACAATAGGTACAGATTCAGATACAAGCAGCTGATACAAGTATATACAATACATCAATTCTGTAGAGTGATGTCAGGACCATCATTGTAACATATTTCCTGTCCTCTCTCTTAATTTCTCTTAACTTCTTACAGGAAGTAATGGTGCTACTTCAATAGGCTTCCAGGACAGGACACTAAAATCAAGGCAATATAGGAGCAGTGGTGCTGTGTACAATATTGGTCGGGGAGCACGCAATGTAATATCTGGCATAATTTTTCTACACACAGAGATCTAAATGCGATTCAGGGTGCTCGCCACCACTGCTTCTATATTTTAGTGTTGTGTGTGTAAGTTTAATGTAGTCTTTAATCATTTTTATAATATACAATAGTATAATAAGTCATAATTTAGTATACCATCACATACACCATAGTCTTGGTAATTGCAGGTTAGATTCTCACATGATACACATATATTATTCATAGGACGTAATTTTCGTATTGTTTTGAACATCCTCTATAATATTCATTACGAATTAAATAAAAGATCATTTCTTCTATCAGTCATTTAATTCTAGCTATTTGTAGTGGTAAGGGCAGTTGTTGGTCTCTATTGACATCACTGCTTACTTCAGTCTCTGAATGGCAATCTATTGATGCAATAGGCATAAATGTGTTAAGAATTTAGCTCATGTCTGAGCCATCTCAGGCATTCTTAATCAACTGTCTATACTTGCATTGTATGTAAAATCAAATGTAGGTATACTATAATACAATGTTATCCATACAAAGTGATTATTTTTTACACTACAAAATTGTAGATATTGCAGTTAGTTGCAGTATATTTTTGAAAATTTCACTGATTCATCTTAAGTGTATTTTTTCTGATACCACATTTAAATATTAATTTATTTGAAGATGTTGATGAACAACATTTAAATGGTCGATTTGCATTATGATGAAGTTGTTGAATATATTAGATTACCATAGAAAAAGCTGCAGGTGGCAGTAAATAAACATTTAAAATTTGTGCTCATAGAAAGTAGAATTAGAGTCTCAAATTAAAAAATATTTACATAGACATTTTCATTTTTAGTGTTTTGTTATATTTGAAGAAATCAAATGAAGAATTGCTAAAAAGTAACAAAAGAGTTCAATAGTGAATATAAGTTCTTATATGTTTAAAACTTTACATTGAGAGTGTATCAATAATACAATTGGATCCTCCACTTCCACATCAAGAACTACTTGAATAGCACACTGTTTAATATAGACATACTGTTCAGCATAGGCTATGCTAAACCATATCAACATATTATTCAACATAAGTTAGTGCTAAAAGATACAGATACTTCATTACAACATCATGTCAAAACAAATAACTGTATTATTTAACAATGTGATTTTTAGTTTTTGTTTGCACAAGTATACAAAAGATGTATTTTTTATATAGAATAGAAATTATTTAATCAAATAAACTTAAATTTAAGTAATTTTGAACAGTCACAGTAGCGGTAAATTAATAAATATATATATATATATATATATATTAATATAGCTAATTCAGAGTTATCTCATCACAAGAAAATTAGCAAGAAACTTATATGTTGCTCTTTTGAATAATAGTTGTAATCTATATTTTGAAGTTGAAATGTGTAAATTTAGCATTAATTCATTAGAGTCAAAATACACACACAAAAAGATTAAATCATCATCTCATAGTGGTTAGATCACGCCAGTTCCGAGTATGATGAATTCCATTCACAAGTATGATATGAATCAGTCATCACTTTGCACGACAATATTGTAGGTAGCCTAATGACCCGGCCCATCACACCACCACATGTCTGGACATATTAGTAAGCATGATAACTCATGATACTCAACCATGTCATAGCTACCTAAAATTACCTTTTGGTAGTTACAGTATTTATTATGCAGTCTTGCTATATTATGCATTCTTCTGTAAATTGCGAATGCAATATGACAATCAATACAAAAACTGCTATACTACCATATGTCAAATAACCAGTAAGAAAAGGAAATTATAATATTGTCAACTACATATTGTTGTTATCTATGAATTTGTCTTTCTCATAATAGTATTTTTTACACACCATTCTTCCACATTTGTAAACTTAAATCAGAAAAGTAAGTGTTATTAGAAAACAATGACATAAGTTTAGTGAACAATGTATCACACTCCTGCTCAGAGTTCTTATAATTTCAAAATATATATATTATTATTATAATAATATATATATAATTTGAACAAAAACTTTAAAATCCATAATTGAATAATATATACTAATTATAAAAATATATATTTTTATTATTTTTGACATACAAATATTAAAGGCATAAAACAATGGTGAAGATAAAAAACAAATATGCTTACTTTTAATATAAATAATAAATATTTCAATTATGCACTAATTTAATCCAGAATGTGGATGAGTGGTGAGTGTTGTGGTGATTGTTGAATATACAAAACAAACTTCTGTTTAGTTTACTCTTAAATAGAAAATAGAAAAATTGGATACATTAATTAATATAATAGCAACGTAAATACCTGTTCGCACAAATCTAGGTTGATAGTGCCCTTGAGTCGCCTGCAATTCCGGTCTGCGTAGTAATCGAGGAAATATTGACCAGGGAGCTCCCCCGATTGACGCAAGGCAAACCACCTTCTCCGCCATTTCTGAAGTAAATGAAGACTTTGTTACAGATAGTATATGATAAATCTTAAAATATATTGTCACTGTCACAATCAGATCAACAATAATACGAAATATTCTACACATTATAACATATCGATATAATCACAATCTGTCAACAAAGGTAAAAGTTGCAGCTTAAAAAAAATACTTACAGTTCTCCAAATACGTTTTGTAGGCGGTGATTTAGTCAGCCATCCTTCAAAAACAATATTTCTAGACATACTTTTGAATTGCAGGCTTATCTTTGAAACATGAGTCACGGAATATAATTTATTTGTAGTTCGTCCATACCTACTTGGTTAAAGTATCGCTTTTTTACATATTTTTTTTATTTTTGACGACTAATCAATGCATCCAACATGTAGGAATGAATTTACTTTTCATAGACAAGCACAAGTAAATACTTTATGGTTCATATGTCACAATCAACAAAGAGAAATCTTTTGCATAGGACTGAATAGGAATAAAATTACCATGTATGCATTCCAAAAGTTACAATTTTATACCAACTACAATACAAACTACTTTTTTGTAAACAATGGAAGAAGTATTAATAAAACAAAAATATTGAAATACATGTATCTTTAAAATCTAACGATATGATTTAGTAACCTATATTGATTTAGAATCGATAGGGAATAATTATGATATTAATTGATATATACTGTTTTTAATGTTTGAGTATAAATATGTATATCATTGGCATTTAGTATTGGTGCTACGAACAATACATTACTTATTTTTGACTTGTGTGTACAGTGCGTTTGCATTATCGTGACAACACTAACGATTGGCAACACTGACGAATGCGGTATAGTTTAATATCGTAAAATGTAATGTATCATGTCCCTCACTCGTCTAGTTTTATTCAATTTTCTAAAAAATATTGTTTATAAAAATGTGTTATCGTAATAAAATAGGATCCAAATTTATATTCTACGTGCTAATTTATATTTTTCTGTAACTAGTAAACTCCATGTAGCCGTTTGATAGAAAACAATATAAACCTTAAGGAAATATTGGTTGAATTGAACTAAAGTACTAGTAGGATGTTGAAAAATTAACTATTGCACTGGTCACCGTTTAAACGTGATACAATTACACACATTCCAACAAAAACAAAATTTACCCATTGTTCCGGATGTTACAATAATGCAAACGGACAGTATACAAGATCTTTATACTGATCTATAGAAAAAGGCATTAACTATGTAACGATGTCATTACAAAGACTCTGCCCTTTTAGACATCAGGGACACAGAATAACTATGTTATTCCCTAATTTTCAAACATAGTATAGTTTTTTTTTCTTTATTCTTTCTCTACTTTGGTGCAACCTAAAATTCACCCATCGCTCTATATTTTTTATTTTATTATTTGATATATTAATTTTAGTAATTTAAAAATCGTGTATCCTCTCCGCGTATTTTAATTGATGAACTTAAAAAATGACGGTTCGCCGCCTTTTAGAGCTATGGCTTCCTCTAATGACAGAACCGCAAAGTTCCTCCTCGCCACTTACTGCCACAGTTACGAGGATGAGTATTCCACCGTGATCAAAGTGGCAATATGGCAGGTCTTCCCCCAGGAAAATTCTTCCTTGTTCCCCCGTTTCGACCCAACGTAGGGGAGAGGCAACGGATGCGCTCCCCACCCCATCTCGGCTCCTTCTGTATAGGCGGTAGATTAGAACCGTTGAGAGTTGAGACTGCCATCCACACAGCACTGCGCTCCGCACTCTACGAGGATAGAGTCACGGCACAATGCTTGACAGTCGTGACGGAGCCAATACAAGAGGCCCCATACCTCGCCTGTAAATGTAGCCTTGGTTATTATGAAAGGCCACATTTTTGTTCTATGATGTATATATTTAAAGTACTGTATAAGTAATCGTTTCATAGACGAATATACGAGTACATATACACATATAGTTTCCGCGAGTCGTATCGGAACGTCTAATAACAGAGGTTAGAAACAAAGAAAAGGGGTCACGTGACTCTTGAACTGAGTGTGATCACATGGTTGCCACTTGAACAAAATAATAATAGAATATTTCGCCATCAGCTCTTGAATTTACTTGTTAACATTGAACCAGGCTAATCCAGATATATCGTGTGGGGCAATAAATTTATTCCGTATAATTTATCTATATTACCCAATTTCAAATTTGTTTGTCAATTAAAACGGAACGTACATTGTGATCAAGTTTACTTCTCAATTGGGAAATCCCCTTAATGACGTCATCAGATCGTTTACAGCTTCTATAAACTAAACGTTTTCTTGTGTTCTCTCCATATTGTTAACATACCATCATTGTTGGATGCCAAGTGTTCTTCCCGTGTCGTCTCCGTACTGTGTAATATGTGACATGGTGTAGTTTCCTTAAGATCTATGTTTCATTGTAAATTATTTATGTGAAATCACTATAAAGGTTAAAGTGATGTGTTGTGTTGGACAATTGCGACGATTTTTTGATGTGTATAGTCTACATCGTTGCGTAATTTATGTTGGTGACTTTCTGTTGCTAGAAAAGTGAGTATTTATCTAGATTTAAAAATATATTTATACATACTATAAAAAGATTAAAGTAAATTGAAAATAAGAAGAATTCAACAAAAAACGAATCCATGTGGTTGTATGTTCTAACTACAATGTATGTTCCAATAGCTTTGAAGTAATATTTTTTTAAAATTAAATTGGTAGTATCATGATGTACGTAAAAGTTTTTAGATATTAAATATTTATTTTTATTACATCTTAACATACTGTATTATACTAACAATAAAAATAAATATAAAATAATAATAAATAAATATAAATACATTATTATACTAAACCAAACTAATGGTAAAACAAAATATTTAGAGACCACTACTAGCGACGTGATCTAAACATTATATATGTATATTTCGTATCGAAGGCCTCGGTCTAGCGGTTTCGCACAACGCTTTACTCCTCATGGTCGCGGATTCGATCCTTCACACGGTGCAAATATATATATTTATAAGTACGATTGTTTGTATCAGTTTGTGTGTTTTCTACGCATATTATGCATTTATATATTCTACGTATGTACGTACATACAATTAGAAAAATCACGGAATCTTACTACTTTTTATTTATTTTTGTTGAGTTCCCGATACTCCGTCAGTGTCATGATCATGGCGAAACGTAGACTTAATATAAATAAAAAAACATGGAAATATCCCCCTTTCATAATTCTACGTATAAATATTACGTACGTATTTGCAAAAAAAAATCAAGTATTTATATCAGTTGTCTAGTACCCATAACACAAGTTCTGCTTACCGTTGGACTAGATGGCGCTGTGTTAATTGTCCAGGGTTATTTATTTATTATATTTCGTATACTCAAAACTATTCATTTATTTAAGGTAACTATGTAGGTACTGTATTGTATTTCTCTACGTATATACAATTAGAGCTGCATCATTAATATGCAAATGAAATCAATCATTACAGAAATATAACTTTTAACCCATCCGTTGACAGGGAAATTAATAAATGAATTATTGTAGGAGCGATGCGGCCTCAATACTACCAATGTAATGTACATTGGTAGTATTGAGGCCGTATCGCTCATTAGGTCGATCTCCAGGAGATCCCCCCTGGTGACCAACGTAGATAATTCCAGGTGAAGTAGCTACGATGAACCCATCCAGCGCAGTTTCTATCAGCTAGGTACGATGGCTGGACATAAAATTTCTACAAATTTAGGAAAATCCAAATTGAGTATTGAATGATGCTGAACCATTATTTTTTAATAATGCATTTCGATTTTTTTATACATTTAAAATCTACGGAGAACTTTGGTACTCGCCCTGTTTCAGAGTTGTCTTCATAGACTAAAACAGGGATAAGAATCGAAGGATGTTTTTAAGTGCGATGATTTTTATCTCCTCATTTAACTAACTGCAAATATTTTAAGAAGGTCCGTTAGCATTTCTGGAACATTTCGTCAACAACATAAAAATAATTTGAGAGTATAGGCAAAATAGAATCGACTATACTGTAATTTCATGTCATGATCACTATTGTTCTTAACATTATCATCATCATTACATAGTATAAAACGAAGACGAAGTCGCTGTCTGTCCCTATGTATGCTTAAATCTTTAAAACTACGCAACTGATTTTGAAGCGATTTTTTTAATAGATAGAGTGATTCTAGATGATGGTTTATGTATATAATATATATACAGCCGGGCGAAGCCGGGGCGAGTAGCTAGTAATGAAATAAGATATTAACTTCAATTACAATTTCTATGGAGGTTTGTTTAATGAAAACGAATGACATAATAAGCATGTATGTATATTGTTTATTTACCTACATCTGTAGATGTCAAAAAGCAAGTCTGTCAAGCATGAAAATGTTAAAGAGACGATATGACCGAAAATAAGCAACATCCTGGCGACCCCCGAAGTAATGTTGCAAAATTTGGTGCATTCGATCCCGATAAGTACCTAGTTTTTGTGATTATTCATAATACGCTAAATTCCTTAGCAACTTTAAGGACATAGATAAATTTACTCTGACGGTGTTTTCAGATATGTTATTGACAGCGCCTCCTTTACTGTTCGCACAAATGAGGCTTTAACACCTGGATGCCCACCTTATCTTACACAGCAAACGATTGGGAAATTCCTACAACCCCTGACTAGAGAACTAGTCGAAGTTTCACCTAAGTAAATTACTTTTTACATACTCAGGTACCTTTATAAGCCGTTTAACTTTGCAATCTGTTTCCTACCTAGAAGCTCACAATTATAATTTAATAATAATCTACAAGCAAGGGAATGACACTAAATGTTAGAGGTTACTAAAAGTTACACAGTGCTTCAAATGAAATCTCCTTAAATTAATACATTCAAAATGCTATATTGGAACTATATTGGAACAACCAATTAGTTATTTTTTCGGACTACTCTAGGGCTGTTGACCTCAGCTGGCCATTACAGCTTCAACGGACGAGCAGATGGCACTCCAAACCTGCGGAAGGTTTTATGGAGCGGCTGAAGGCCAACTTCCATCTGACAGATAGGATTTTAGTCTGACGTTACCATTAGGGGTCCGAACCTAGGTTCAGGCCATCGTAATTTCGAACCTTGTTTGAATTGTTCACAAGGACTCAGTAAATAGTCTTTAATTCTTATGAATTATTTATCTCAATATTATTATTATACACAGACCAACTATCGATGAACTCCCAGATGCCGTAATTGACAATATGGTGCGAAAAGACAAAGCCTTCTGGGTTGACAGGCCGGGCACTAACGCATACACGCTTCATGATGCCTATTACAGTTATGACATGAGAGCGGAGATCGTTAAACCACGTAGGTTATATATGTATACATATACAAATAAATATTAGCTAATATCTGAATATAATTTTCTAAGTTTGATTTTTGAAGTTTTAAACGCTTTAATCATAAGAGTAATTATTTAGATTACATTTTAGATAGTATTTATTTCAATATGTAAGTTCAAGGTTTAAAATTAATATTGTCTAAAGAGTATATCTTCTGTCTAATGAGAACGTCTCGTATATTACGGTTAAAAGGATTACACCCCATGGAGTCCTGCGCTCGGCACCTTCGGTGCAATAAAGGTTTAATGAGGAACATTATTCTTTGTATACGTTACATTTTTATATCGGCTTTAATTTTATTTACCAGCTAGCCCGACGTATGTAGTTTTTCTCAATTATTAACATTATTGTAAATGTATTAGGGGTTACTTATAGGGTTAAAAACTATTCTATTATGTAATTTGGTCTGACTTGTAAACACGTAAACTCCTAACTTTTAGACATTTTATGAAACTTGTATATATGTATTAGGAATATGATATAGTATATTTTAATAAACTTTTTATTAATGTGGTCATAGCACACCAGGATGTGTTCCCCCGTTCTTACCAGTATGAACTTGACTGTGTAAAGTATCGTAGACTCCATACTTGTGATGGCCTTAAACAAACAGAAGGTGAAAAACAAGTAAGTTGAAATTTACACAGCTGTACTGAAACGTAGACTTTTATATAATAATATGATCATAAAAGAATATATTTTTTACTACATTATTAGAACTACAGAAATACAATTGCCCTCACATCGTCTAACCCGAGGTTCTGTTTCGCTCCTAAGTATGGCATTGCTCAGAAACATAAACGCGACTAGAAAAGTCAGTAGATATAGTTATACGTTATACTTATACGTTCGGTATTCTTCTACGCTAGTAATATTCATAGATACTATTAGCGGACAAGAATGAAACCTGCAGAAAGTAAAAGGTGACATGTGCGAGTTTGAAACTGAAATGAGGTCGTTAAAAATAAATAGCTATCAAGATGTATTGATATGTGTTGCAGCATTATTATACATATGCCTACAACTGGAAAGAAGTGTGATAAACGAGTGTTGATAATGGGAGAGTTTGCCACAAAAGTTTCAATAATCTATAATATATAAAGCTGCATTTTAAATATAAACACTGCTGCTGTTGTGATAGAATCTTATCAGAGATACAATAGTCCATATTTATTGACCGTTGATAAAACTTAATGCGGGTACATGGTAAGGTACATTTTCGTCCGGTATCTACGTAGTACTTGTTAGTAATAGTATTCTCTAAACATTTAGAAATTACTGAGTGCCCATTGCCGAGACTGTCATAGCTTAAATGTTGCTAGCTTGTCTCCGTTGCAACTAGCTTGGATTCAAGATCCCGGCCAAAAAAGATGGAGATATTATCCCGATCTGACAACCAAGCTTACAACAGAAGAAATTCGACTATCAATGAACGAGTAAGAATAATATAAACTATTATTACAATAAAAAACTATATTTTTTAAGTTTGTTTAATACATGGAAGACTGCTTATAATATTTGGATAAATAGAAAAAATAGTAAGGATCTTTATTTTTAGAAATATGCTATATATATATATTAGATATATATAAAATTTTTTATATGTATATATATATATATATATATATATATACATAAAAATTAATTGCTATTTGTTAGTCTCGCTAACGGCTGAACCGATTTGGCTATGTTTATGGCTGGCGTTTAGAAAGTAGCGGTGAAATATGAAAAAATTGCATGTAAAATAGTAAAAACAACAATTATATTTTCCCATACAAGCGGCTGATACCTGTCAAATAGGGTGCGTTCAGAAATTTAGTGCGTAACTTTGACTTATTTAATTTTGAGGCAGAACAGAGTTCGCAGGATCAGCTAGTACTAGCTGATTAAACTAAACTGATAAATAAACTCGTATAAATATTATAGCAAATTTTCTCTCAACTTCTTTTATTTATGGACTACCGTTACTTACACTACATATCCACGTCGCCTGTATTAATATAAATTATTCTAAAAGATACGATTTGACTTGCCATCATCTATGCATTTCCTGTAATGTTTCTCAAGTTGTCGCTTCAATACGTATGTACGTGATGTAGGTATTCTTTCTTCTTAATTACATCACTGCAAAGTTATCAAAAGCATCTCATCTGTGTCTGATGTGAAATCATACCAATGTATAAATAAAGCTAATAGATACTATATTGTATTTTAGCCAACCGGTTAATTTATTTTTGTTACAGAGTAGGACGTCCATTTCAAAGAGAAGCGTGCCAATGGTATAATGAAAATTATCCGTCTACAAACTATAATTGCATTCTACGGAAATTTTCCAAATAAATGTTCTATATTAAATCTGTTTTATTACTAAATCTTTGTTAGTCACCGTCACTACAGTAGTATGTGTTTATATCGCAGGTATTTCTTAAATCATTATTATGCCTTGTGGAATTCTGCGTATGCGGTCAAATAATCCATCTCGTGAAAGGATGCTTGTATGCTTGGTCTGGATTTATAACTGAGTAATTTATTTTGTTACTCAAGAATTTATTATACGAATATACTTTTGCCGTTTTTACTATTTTTTTAGTTTTATATTCACACAAATAAATATGTAATCCAGAAAAACATCTATATAAAAAAGTATATAAAAACATAAATAAGCAAGTAGTAGTATTCTCCTTCTTCTTATGTTGAGCCTGCATTGTGAATGATCGATAGAATAAAAAAGGACTACTAAGTACTTCTATTAAGTTTCTTTGAATAAAGATAATTTCTATTTAAACCTTTGTATTTACCAATTTTAATTTTTTATAGTAAATCACAGATCTCCATTTAGTCCCAAATTAACTTAACTAGTGAACTGATATAAACACATAGATATTTTTATGTAAATACATACATAATATACATATAAATCACCCAGATCAATACAAACAATCATACTTATGAATATAATTGTTTGTACCGTGCGAGGAGCGACCATCAGGGTGGCAGGTTCGAGTAAGTACTACCGTGCCGGTCTAAATATTATATACACAGTTATTCTACCCTTAAGGCATAAGTAATTCCTGAAGAGTGTGACAGCCCCGCTGAATTTTTTTGTCTCTGGTTATATCCCTTTATCCCTGCATAATGGGAAGCCATCTATACTTAACCGATTTCACATATCTGTCATCTATAGAAAGCTATTAGCAAGTAACATAGTCGATGTATTATTTTTATGACAAATAAGTGCAATGATTATATCCATTTTCATAATATGTTCGAAATCGAAATAAGGAAGAAATAAAAACTTTATCTATTATCTCATTACCTCTTTGACATCTATCACTCTTCTTTTGTTTACACTTATCAAAATCCCAAGTATGATAAATGATTTTTGAATAAAATTATAAAAATATAGATTCCCATCCCCAAATAAAAACAGCCATGGCAAAACAGGATGACGGTCTTTTTCTCCTAGAGGTACTTATTGACAAAATAGTATTTGTGAAGAGCCCTTGTTTCTCTGACAAAGATTTTAGAACATGTGTTAATATAGAATGCCCTTCAGTTGAACCTTTAGAAATATGTGACGATGATCCCAGTGCATGTATTGTGAAGAGTGGTGGACCTTTTGTTAAAACCTTCAACAATGGCAAATCATGTCTATTTTCTATGAAAGCATCTGACATTGACCATGCTATTGGAAAGTTTCCTATAAAAGTTTCAGTTTACAAATCGCTTCCATGCGGTTGTCTGCCCACTAAAATAATTATAGGGGAAGCAACAATTGATATGACAAAAGAATTTGTGCAAGCTCGAAAAAAGTTTCTCGATGATCCTACAAATGTCAGCTACCAAGCTTTAAAGGACTCTTTTCGTATTATTGGCACTGATGGTGCAGAAACTGGAGAAATCGTTATGTTTTTACGTATTTCGTGTTTTGGAAAGTTAATTATTACCAGATTTCAAGGAGGAGGAGTTCCTCCAAACTTAACAAGTCGGGGGAGCTCGGCTGTAATAGATCGATCTTGTACACTACGAAAAGATTTTCAAACTTCTCAAAATCCTTGCATTTGTGGAATTGCCCGAGAATCAAATAGTGGTGGAGTTGGAATTAATAGACAACCTTGCACCATAGATGGAGGAGGATTTGGCATTTGTCCACCAGGTATACTACTCATGTACATTGCATCAATTTTATGTAATCTATTTGCGGGTAAGGGTATCATAAATTATAATAATTTACAGCTCGAAATCCGTACAATAGTATGCCATGTGAGGATCCTGATGACCCCTGTTATTGCTCTGGCTCTGTAAAATCCGCTGGAAAACAGCAAATGATCTGTAAAAATACTGATCAATATTGTCTACATGTACCAAAAGGTAAATAAAATCTGCATATAATAAATTTACAAAAACTATAATAGTCTATTAGTGTACGATATCTTGGTGGTAGTTAAATAATTTCTTTTTAGTATAACTTTTTGTGTATATCGGTGCATATTAATATGAAATATCATTTTCACTTGGCAAAAATTGAATGCATGAGAATCAATTTCTTCATGGCCAGGTCGCAGTAAACAATTTGAAGAAATAGGCACAAATTTGGGTGGCAATGAACTTAAGATCAAAGTGCCAGCAAATGCATCGATCATCAAGAAGATTAGTCAAACTCATTGCGCAATGCAATGTCCATATACAAAAGGAACAGATGATGGTCCCTGTGAACCCCCCTGTGGAAGAAATCAAATTAGCCTGGAATTACCTAGTGAAGCTATTTGCTGCTATGGTAGTCAGCCAGCTGACACACAATTCACGTGTACAACAGAAGGATGCATTCAAGCCTCTAAACATGGCCAGCAAACCGCATTAGCACGCAGTGATACTAAACAACGCGAATTACCAAATAAAGAAGTTTTTGTATTGAAAGTAGCTAAAACTGCTATTCAAGGGGACAAGAAATGCAAATTAGAGTTAGAATTAGTTACTCCTAAAGGTCCAAATAAAAAGCCACCAGTGCAAAAAGCAAATACGAGAATACAATCTGATCTTGATTGTGATTGTTATCTCAGACTACTAAAGAAGTCAAAAGCAAAGAGGCGGCTCTGATTCTAAAATAGAAAATATTCTCTTTTGTATTTACACTTTCTAGTTTATTATTTATAAAAATATTGTATTATCATAATTTAACTAATTCCACTTTAAAAAGTAGATTATCACTATATTTTATTATAATACAATAAGCCTCATAAGGTCAACAACTTATACAGATTGCTGTCCAACGGGAAACAAGGTCATATTCCAAATGCCTTCTGACACCTGCGGTATGGGTCACAAACAGCGGGCACATTTTAACATCACGTCAAATGGTGTGGGAGATGTATCCAGAGATGATCCTAGTCAATTGATGTCGACAACTGCAGCAGATTACCCTGGAGTTGTATATGATTTTCCTCAACAAATAATAAAATTAAGAATCGGGAAGACTGTAGAAATGCCGGGCAGGAAATCAAAACTGGAGTACCAATTTATTACACCTGTTCTCACACATGATAAACAGATTCCAATTAGAGATACACGTGCTGCACAATGCACTTCATGTAGTTCTGATTGTTGTTCACCAAAATCCACGAATCGTAATATGTAGATTTTTTTACTGTTAATTAAATGTATAAATCGTTGTAATTGTTTTATTAATTAAAATTAAATTAGCTATTAAAGTGTGATATTTGTTTCTTATAATTTTATTTGTTAGGTAATATAAATTTTAGAAAATATTTTGTTATTAATGTATAATGTCAACTGGTCGTAGGTAAATTGCCGAGCTTGCCGTTTCATCAAGAAATAACAGAAGACCAAAAGCAGGATTTAAAGGCGATGAGTAAAACCTTGGACAACCAAATTAAAATAGAAGAATTTTTAATGTTAACAAATAAGCTTTCCAAAAAACCAACGGCAACTACAGTTAGTGATTATTTGAAAATGTCCGTAGAAAGTATGAATTTTTTATCTAATACGTGCGAGACAAATTTATCATCATCTGAAACGTGTTCTGTTACTTCGTTATATACATTACACTCTAAGCGACGCAGTGTGTCATTTTCTAATACTGTTAATTGTATTTCAAAATCACATCAGTCTTTTTCCTGTCCTCTGAAAGATGATGATAGTAAACATAAATACTACTTTGAAAAAGATTATTTTGGGGAGAAAGAGACCACAGTTTATATGACGCTTTTTGATGACTACTTGTGCCACCGTACGTCAGGTACACAAGCTACAGCTTCAGTCAATAAATGTCTACAAGTTAGTCATAAAAACAGAATAGATATTCGACCCAGCACAAACACAACAAATTCAAACTTATGTTCAACTTGTACTCTACCAACCATACCCAATGGAAACAAAATACTACATAGTAATAGACACGATTCCGAGGTATTTTTCTTTGAATGGAATAAGCACCCAGAATCGAATAAATCGGGGTTGGGAAGTTCTGGATTAAAAACAAAACTAAAAAGAATTTCAAAAGCCACTGTTGCTCCTGTCAGAAGTGAAAAACATACAATTAGAGAAACAGCTTCTATTCAAGCTCAGTCTAGTAATAGCTCTACGGCAGTCCAGACAAAAAAAGCAAGAGGTTCTTCAGCTGGCACATCTACAGGTAAATTAGTTTCTATCAGAGACAGTAAAATGGAAAAACCATGCCTTGCAGTTGGTGGTGTAACAAAAGGTGATATGATGGCAACAGTGTCACATATCAGAATTGGTCCTAAAGAACAATGTCCTATACATGGCACTGAACCATGTCTAGGGCCAAAATATATTATTGCTTCATCAGAAGAAGAACAAGCTCCAGTTAAAATAACGACAATGACTAATCCTCGTCGTGGAGTATTTGAACTAATTATTCGTAGGATAACTGGAGCACCATTAGCGAAAAATGAACTTATGTTAGAATGGACTCCACCACCATCCCGACCACCATCTTGTAGATCTCCATGCCATATCGTATCTTATTCACCGCCGAGAACTTATCGTTCATCAAAATGCAAAATGATTGTACGTCACCCTTCGTCATGCAGACCTAGGCATTATAAAAAGGGATACAAAAAGCCAAACGGACTGGTGCCTTGTCGATATGTGCCTTGTAAGAAATGTTGGAAGCCATCGTGCTGTAAAAAGTATTGTCGGCCTAGTAAAACCTGTTCGCCACTACCACGATGTAAACCCAGCCCACCATTACCTATTTGTAGAACTTGTGCACCGATTTATTATTGCAAGCCATGTTCACCATCACCTTGTTCAAAGCCTTGTCCACCATCACCATGTAGACCTTGCTCACCGTCACTTTGCTATGGATCATGTTCTCCTTCTCCATGTAAAAGTTCACCATGCCTACGACCATGCCATGTCGGTCGCAAACGTCCTCGAAAGACTCGCAGTCACCCTAAAATAAAAGCACATTCAAAACGCAAATCTCCATGTCGCAATCGTTCAAAAACCTGCCCCATGGTCAGGTGTCGTAGCATGCCTGGACCATGCAATGGTTGTTATGTTGCCTGCCCACCACGTAAAAGCTACTCCGTTTCTCCCTGCAAGCCGATCAAATGTTGTAAAAGCATTTCATCAGCTTCGTGTTGCTGTGAATGAAACTAGTTAACAATTATCCATATTATATAAGCCTAAAAATCACATTATAAATAATGATTTGTATTTGATACAATTTTTATATACTTCGATATTATCCAAAATTACTTTCTATATATCATCTTGAAAATATATTCTATACAGCATACGTGTATTAACACAGCACCTATTACAATCTATTGGCTTTATGGGTCCCTAAATAATAGATGACCACTTTTAGTTTACATTCCGGAACAAACAGGAAGAACTTCGTTTTTTAGAATTTGTATGCAATTCTGTATTACATTATTATTTTATTAACAACAATATTATAAGTAATAAGAAGTACCGAATAAAATGTTCCAATACTTTCATAGATTAATTTGTTTTCTTGTAAAACTTAAATAATTATCTATATTATTGAAATATATACTTTAAAACTTGTATATATTTCAATAATATAGATATGTATATATTTAAACTATTCTTATCGTATCCCAATATATTTTATTATAAAAATGTATAAAATGTAAAATGTATAAAAAATCTCTTAGACAACTAATTCGGTATCATCGGATTGACTAATCAGATGACAGTAAGATAGGTATATGTATATTAGCTAGGGCCAAATAGTAATAATAACTCTCATTACCAACAACCCTCTACGGTCCCAGCTAATTAGCTTTATATATTTTAACCTTACAGTATTTATACATTTACAGATATGATAATTTAGGCATTATATTTCTTAGGTATACTATCCAATGTCCATGGTCCATTTGCGTAGAATTATTGGAGATATGGGGCTAGCGGGTAAGGTAAGTGGACTGTATGGAATTGAAATAAAGGGGGCGCACAGTACGTACCTGCGACTGTAGAGCGGGTGTATTCTTGCACAGCTGCTGCACTCGATGAATACTAAGTTTAACACAGGCACGCACACAAAGTTACTTATTGTTAATGTCAATATTATATTAATTAATTTAAAGCGGAGCGGTTGGGACGAGATGTCACCATTCACGTTAGCAGACGAGGTCGTCGGGCGACCTCAGTTGACATACTGTGCGCGGGAAAGGGATTAAGATATAGGGAATAATACCATACCACTTGATATGTTTAATAAATGGCGCGAACAATTATTACCCACTTTCACTACGGAAATTATTAATTGTCCATACAGTATTTCATGTCTTATTCCACGCCCTTCGTGTTATTTTCATAATAAGTAAACTATGTTTGCTAAGGTATAATCTATCTCTGTACCGTAAATCATATAAATAGTTACTAAACTACCGTTTCAATGGTAAGATCCAGACAAAGTTAATATAAAATAGGCTGAGGACTAGAAAAATAACTAAAGCAAGAAAATGGTCTTCTCGTAGGTATCTGCGCGGGTACAATGTTTAACTAGGTATTAACATGAGTCGTACTAAAACATGGTTTTCAGTATGAACTACGTAGAGATTAACTTGACGGCAAGTTAATTGTTAGCAATTATATATAGTCCCGACTGATAATTGTCTGATATTATCCGCGAGATGTACAAATGTACCTATTTTATTGTAGCATGTACACAATAGCAGTCACAGAACATGCATCTATGATATTCAGATTATTATAATTATTTACCAATATACGCATTCGACTTTAAACCAATATTATATTTTTGCTCTTATATTTCACTAATCTATAGATTTGGTTTGGTTTTTTATATACTTATTGTAGGTGGTGGTTACATAGCTCGGTTAGTATATGACCTACTAACAATTAACTCAGGAGTACTAATTACGGTCAAGGACAAATATACATATGATAGCGCAAATTCAATACAATGACTATTTTCATTGTTAATTGATTAATTTAATTATATTTGGCCTATATTGATCAAATCACTGTTATTTAATATTTTACATAATGAAGTATTAAAATTAAGAATTATTATAAATATTGTAAATAGCGCCATCTAGTACTTATAGACCGCACTAAGTTGTTTGTCATAAGATAACCGTTACCCGTGCGAGAAGCACGGGTAACGGTTACGGGTCCCTACTACACTGCAATGACTACTGCTATAAATACGGAGGTCGGTACTTGAATAACTCCCCCTCCGATCGATCCCCCGTCCAATTCAAACGGGGATCGATATTACAACGGCCTGAGCCGAGGTTCGAATCCCTAGTGGTCCCCTCAGACTAAAGTCGTATCCGTCAGGCAGGAGTTGGCCTTCAGCCGCTCCATAAGTCCTTCCGCGGGTTTGGAGTGCCATCTGCACACGCCCCCTAACGTCCGGTGAAGCTGTAAAGGCCAGCTGCGGTCAACAGCATTAGAAGTCCGAAAAAAATAAAAATTTAAATATTTTTTCTGTGTTTTCTGTATTGCACCGAATACATCTCTGGAATTTGATAAAAGTGTTTTTTATTTATTATCGTAACAATGAGTCGTCTGGTATCAATACCCACTCTTACATATAGATAATTAATTCTCGCTTTCAGTAATATATTCAAGGAACTTTTGGCTGATGGCTTCTCGCTAAAGCCTAAAATATTTTAAGTCCGTGCTTGTAAATAAAAAGCCAGACATTTTTTAATTTCTTAAGTCTTTGGATGTGGTATTTTCTAAAATATTAGAATTGCCTAGAAAGCAAATTCTTCTGTAAACGTCAAAACTTATGTCATCACATGTCTCGTATTCAAATTAGAATGTAGTTGTTGTAATATATGATATTATCGTATTCAAAATTATAGTCCTATTAACTACAACTAGAAATGTCTGAAAATAGTGCAAAAAGTACCCAAGTGCAAGGTAAACCAAAACCAAAGAGGTCCAAATTCGGACTATGCCCTTGGCTTTGTAATCTGTTACCTTCAAACGTGCCCGAACCTGGTGCAGTACAAGGGATTCTACATCCCAGGAAAGATGTCTTTGTACTGAAGGTATGGACTGTCTGATGTTATTCAGATCGTTAATGGGAATTGTTTTAAATTTACTTTCATGTCTTTTTTCAATTCAATAGCAACTACATGTATTTACCCATAATGTTGCAACGACTTTAGCGCAGTCGATCATATTTTTTAGATCCTCCTTCGCACGGGATGATAAGCACGAATTACTAGAGAGTATATGGGCCTTAGTCTGGGGTGGTCTTAGTCCTGAAGTGACACCCCATTAACAAGTGGTACCTGCAGGTAGATAGGAGTCTCCCCGCGGTGCCTCTGGGGACAGCCAGTGTCTAGGCTGGCTAATCCTCTCACCATAATGACAATCCAAACCATATACCTCGCTCTGTACATTCACTTAAAACCAAAATTACATATGAATCCTTTTTTACATCTATTGCATGGTTTTTATAAGTATATATAGTTAATTTTATAACATTTAAAGTAAATTAATGAACGGAGAAAAAAAAACTTTATCTTTTATTTAGAAACTCACTAAGCTAGTGGCAATTTTATGTATTTTTGTATACATACTATAACTAAACGCATAGGAAAAACCAGACTTCATATAGGTACTTTTGACTCATTCAAGGATATATAAGCAATATTATGTAATTTAGGTAATTTATTACACATTCAAAAATTTCCAATAATAATAACTATTCAAGTGTTCTGTAAAATATATGTTTGATATATTATAATCTCAAATAATACAATACTTGCTCAAAGGTGGCGAAAATAGGAGCTACTGGTGACCGACGATGTAAAATGGAGCTCGAACTTGTTACTCCCAAAGGCCCGGAGAAGAATGCACCTTCTCGAATTGATACTAGAGAAACCCAATGTGACCCCGATCCTCAACCTTGTTGTTGCATGAAAAACAAGAGAAATAAAAAATAAACATGTCGTGATAGTAATAACCAATTCTGTATAATAATGGTGTTAATCAAAAATAAAAATAGGTATAGACAGTTATTGTTTTGTCATAATTTATAGAGTTGTTTACTATATTCTTGTGATACCAATAACGAACATTTATTTTAACAATCCCATTGTTTCCTGCTAGTAATTAAGTTATATATAGTAAAACGGAATTCACGCAATTCCATAAATACACACGACACAAGACTATATAAACCTATTTTATATTGGTACATAGCACATATTAAAATAAATTTTGAGATACAATTCTCCACATTACCTTTACTAGAATTATAAACTAAGTAGAATATTATTTCTGCTGTCTTTAAAATCTTCTTATATGGCTTTAAAATGTCGTCTATGATGCATAAGCACTTACGCATATAAAGAGTCTAAGAATACCATGAACAAGCCGATAAACTTAGTGATGAAACTCTTAGTACGTATCGTATCATAGCGTCTTGAATCTAAGTTGTACAAAAGGTCGAGAAGGATGGCCAGGTCGTCGTCGCGCTCCGTATAATTGAACACAATGATAGCTGTTTCATCAGTTTAATACTTACAAACGACTGCCACTTGAAGAGATTAGGTTGCTCTGGTAGGTCAACTAGCTACAATTGCATGTTGAATAGCTTGGATTTTTATAATTGTACTAATGTAATGTTTGTAATACAGTTGTGAATTATTGTACATATTGTTTGAAAAGAACAACACTCCAGTATCAATCGCTTTGTTCTGAATCTGCTTTCTAAATAGAAGTCGCAGAATATTAAAAAAATATTCATATATTCACAGAAAAATAATTTATAGCAAATACTTTTTAAATGCTTTTTCTCTGATCTATACAAATACAATCGTTCTGTCAGGTTCTGTCACTAGTAGCACTTCCTTTGGTGGCCTGTCTGTTACAGTTCGTACAAAATTATGAAATTCTTAGTAGGTTCCATCCACTATATTGCTATTTAAAATATATATTATATTGATATGGGTAAAACACGAAAACCTTATGAAGAAATTGGTGCAATATTTAATGGAAATGAGGTATTTATACATGAAATCTTTACTTACAAATTATATTATATATTAATTAATTAAATTAGAAAATTAAAAATATATTTTTATATAATTTTGTATTTTCTAATAGTTAATCCTTGACGACTTATACCTACTATATTCTTATTATATATAACTTAAACAGTATATATATTAGTATATATTATTACAGCAGTGAAGAAAGAATTCAGGATATAATTTTTTTTTATTCTTTTTATCTTATGTGTTTTTAGTTTTATATAGTAGATACTTTAGAATGTAATACTTTATCAACAATAATATTTTCATTATAATAGGTCAAAATCCGAGTGCCAAAGAGCACCATAAAACCCTCAAAGTTGACACCTGCCCAACTAAAGTTACAGCAACAGTGTACTTGTGAAGACGACGAATCCGTCTGTTCCGAGACTTGTGGATTTCCGGGCGGTAAAGGTAGTGGACAGGCAAATAGACTGAATTTCCAGGTTATATATCTACTCATTTTATATAAAAATAATATTTATTGCAATAAACTTAATAATAGCGCTTTCGAATAGTGATATTTATATATGAATAGTTATATTATTCTACCACTTATTCGGAACGGAAATTCACTACGTAAATAAATTGTTTGTATATAAAATGAAATATGAACAATATGTATATTGTTAAAGTACAATTTTCAATGAAACAATCTTTCTACAGTTGTCTGTAACTTTTGGAAGACAGTAATACCGTACCGTATTTTCTTGTCTTGCACACGCTTATTATTTCCTATATAAGTAGCTCTTATAGTAGGTTTATCGGATCAAGTAAAACCGTTTTATAAATCACACCAATATAATTAGTTATTTTAATATTCTAATTTTATAGATACCTGACGATATTTGCGAATCTCTAACAAATAGGACTGCATTAAACTCAGAATTGGTGTATAGTAATAAAGAAGCTCATGATACCATGTGTAATGTATGCAATGTTACGCCAAAAGATGCTCCTAAAGGAGTCCATGCTCAAAAACTATTACATCCAGACAAAGATGTTTTTATTTTAAAAATAGGCAAACAAACCGATGAGCCTAATCGTACTGGAAATATAGAGGTATGTATTATTAGAATTGAACTTACTTACTGGTAGAAGTGGAAATTTGGTCTGACCTAATTTTCTTCTCTTATATACTTTCCACTTTCTAGCATTCATCTACATTTACTTTTTCAAGTTTTTTATTATTGTATAAGGTATTAGGTTGCCTTGTATTTGGTGTGCCTTAATGTGATGATATCTCGAATAGCTAATGTTACTAAAGAATTAGTTTTCCTGTGCTTTTAGGTAGAATTAGTAACACCAAGAGCTCCCACCCAAATGAAACCAGCTACTCACTCATGCAAGCAGATACAATGTGAGGAAGAGAATATTCCTTGTTGTGTTCCGTGTAGAACTTGTCGAGGAATAGTTCCAAAGAAAAGAAAGGTCAGACGTCCCAAATTCTGCATGTGAAAAAGGAATAGAGTTATTAATTGAATTCTGCATTAATTGTTATTGTAAACAATACAATTAAATATTACTTAGTCTTCGAAAGTAAAAAGAAAAAATTGTAAAATAGTTTGCGTCATAAACATTAAAGATTATTATTTATTCCATGTAAAACCCCTATAGAACCAAATTATAAAAAAAATATTTTTTTTCAAAAAAGAAAACATTCTTCATAATAACATTTTTAGGTTTGGTACTGACTATATTAATATAATTCGAACTTTATTACCATATTGTATATTTCTGAATAATCTACTACTAGTATGTAATACAAGTACAATTATAATATAAATACAGAAACGGATACCAATACATACTTAATAGCTTCTTTCGAAGTCCAATTTTAATCTAGTGTTATCAAAGTACTAATAAAATGTTTGTAACATGTTACTGTAAATATTTGTTTGAGACATTGATTGGTCGAAGATCAATTAAATAATAGCTATATAATAATATGTTCCCTAACTAATTATATCACTTTAATATCAATTACATAACGGATAAGTATATATAAAGTAATATAATGACTGTGATAATTTGTTACGTCAGTTAATTCTAAAGAATTTAAATAGATAATGTCTATAATCTAAATAATATATGTATATAAAATGCCTATAAACATATTTATTTATATACATATATGTAATTTGATTCCTTTTGTTTGTTTAAGGTTATACTATTGGTATATGTTATATCTTGCAGTAATTACTGCCTTCTCACTACTCCTGGAACGTTTGCTCACATTGTCTCTTATTTGTTTTGATATTGTATTTTCGGTGTAGGTACAATACAGGATATATGTATATATAATATATCTCGTTTGGAAAGGATTCAAACTTGTAATCTGTTTGGATATTTATCTTGATATCATAAAATATGTCTCAAAAAACAACTTTTGTTTATACTTTCCATAAATTCAGTACATATGTCCTCTTATGACTTTGTCACCTATAGAATTGAATAGTTATTTTTCTGTTTACTCATTTTAGATTTAGACATCTTAGCTTGATGTGCTTCAGTTTCATAATAATAAATGTTTTACTAAAACCACAGATAATATGATATTACATACTAAAACCAATAAAAGGAGGTGTCAATGTTATTAATAAGCTTAGGATCATATTTTTAGTTAGAAGTATTTCGTTCAGCGCCTGTGAGCTTACTCATTAGACAAAACCTCATAACTTTATAGGAATACAGATTTAAGAAATGGAGTCATCAGATTGGACTATTATTTGAAAAAACAGATTACCAATATTATACATTACCTTTCCTTATTACACTTTAATTAAAAATAAATTATATGCCTAATAATTTTAACGCACTGTAAAAAAAACGCAGTTAGTACAATGATACAGTACGTACTAAATTTAGTACAGGAAAGAGGGTAATTAGTAATGACCTAATTGCAAGCAATGTACCATTTCAGAGCGGTTTTCTGCCGAAGCTTATCCGAAGGCTGAAAACTATCATGGTTAATGCTTGGTGTATTTGTCTCGAACAGCTAACAAATCTCATTGTAATTTTTCACTAGTTATCCGCCAGAGAATACCATGGTAGGGTCGCGTGCATCTTTATTAGGTACCCATTGTCATCAATTAATAAAAAATAGCCTATGTCGTTCTAATATACCTGAACTCTATAGGTATGCTATGAACTCTGCTCACCGTGAAAAATATACTACTTTAAATATTTTGTAATCCTACCACACTATTTCCAATTCTATGTTACGGGGCTACATTATTTTGGCCTTTAGCCAGTGTAATGATCTCCAAGACAAATTATTTTTGGAATAAAATTGTTTTAATAATAGACAGACTAAAGGGTTACTTCGTTACTGATTCTTTGCGTATTTTGTTTACAATGGGAATGACCCATCTAATGGTATATGACCATTGGATACAAATGACAACACACACATCTATAAATATACTGTGCCGACAGTGGCTACACCAAATGCATTATCACTTTCGAGAAATGATTTCAATTGGCAAGATAGCTATAACAAAGACTTAAATAATTATTAAAATTGTTTGTCAATTTTTAATATAAACGAGAACATATCCATCTGTTATTTTGTTTAGTGGAATAAAATACAAAATTATAACTAGTCAACAAAAAGTAGTTACCTTACCCTCTATAATATTTCTTTATTTTTCTCACTAAGATTCTCTGAAATAATGTCTCACAGGGTTTTCACTCCAATTGTAGAATATAAACTGTTATAATTGACTATGTTCCATCATATCAGCAGTTAATTTATTATTAACTGATATTGTTGACAAAATATATTTACCTATATGATAGAAAAATGTAGAGTCACAATATAGCGCCATTGCAACAGCACAGGCGCATTTCATATTGTTATTTCTAATTCAAGATTATTATTTACTGTTAAAGTGAGGGAGAAAATCCTGTTAATAATAAGGGCGGGGCTGGGCTGGGCAGTCCGAGAAACATGAGCGATGAAAACGTACGTCGGCGCCTTAAACCTACGCCCCGGTCTCAGTCCGGGAACTGCCCTCAGAATACACGGAATCCTAAAAAGTTCGCCTCTCGAATATAGATATTTTATCAAATTTATACATAATGCAAATTGTTGCATCACTTGTATATGCACTAACAAGGTTAACCTTTAAATTGAAACATAATGCATTCATTGGTGCTCCACTGCAGTCCAAATAGGTAAGTGGCTCGTTGATTTTGATTAATTTGGCCTACTGCTAATAAACTGCCAGTTTATTCCATCTGCGTTCAATAAGGGTCGTGACTTTGATCGCTTGACTCGACCTCCTTTTAGTACAGAATAAAATGAAATAACCTTTAGGCATTAACATAACGACTTCCCAAATGCAAACAACTTTATATATATAAAGTTGTTTGCATTTGGGAAGTCGATATCTAGGACCATATTATCTAATAATAATAAAAATATATAGTAAAACTATATAGTTTTACTATATTATATTGTATAATAATTTTATTTTATATACGAGTATATGCAATAGGCAAAAAGAAATCTATAGAAAAAGACTTGAAATACGGAGATATATTGGGAAAATGATTGACATTACAGAATGAAGTATAAACAAGAATATACTGTAAAAGAACTATAAATTCAAATACAAAATTAGAGTAAATACGTACATCTCCGATTAGCCAGATACATCATATTAAAAAATAGAAATGTCAATTGATATAATTTATAATTCGTACATTTCATAAATCCGCGAAATCAAGCAATAAGCCACACCTTGTTTGCGACAAGTGTGTTTTGCAGCTGTATAGATAGTAAATGACGTTGAAAGTATAGAAAATATTATTGTAAGGGTAACATTTGGTATGAGCACGTGGAGTTTGCCTCTACTGTCTACCTAGGTCGTTTAATTATTTATGCACAAGAACCGTTAAGTACTTATATAAAAATAAGTAATATATCCTCAACACTGTTATCCCATTGTTAACTGCCGATGTCCAGGTGAAAGTTACACTTGATATTCACACATTTGCTGAGTATATTTGTATCTTATATGGCAGGGTGCGTCTATCGATCCATCAAAGATTTTTATTGTTTTCATATTTTTTATTTTCGTAATCTCAATATCTTTAATATTTTAGGCAAAATGTACGTTTTTTATTTAGCAAAGATAGTACTTATATTATAAATATTTAAGAACTTCGCTATATTATTGGGAACTAACATATTATACGTTTTAGGTATGTGTAAAACATCATAATAAATTATTTCGGAATATTTGTATTAAAATAATATTTGAGCATGAATGATCAGCACAGTAATAATATATTTTTCGCGAGTGTGCTTTTTCCGCGTTCAATGTTAATAATAAAATGTACTATATATAATAATAAAATAATACGGAAATAGGCAAATCTAAAAAAAACACATAATAATGAAGAGCAAGACTTTAACAATAAAAATATCGTAAGAAGAGAAATAATTGAACTAAACTTAAAATTGAAGATTTATAAACGAAGACGCTAACTAAATTATTGTAAGTTAGAAGCATTGTCTAGTCGATATATAGACTGTTTTTAAAATCTCCGAGAAAGCTATAAACGGATTATAGAAACAAAGTTATAGATTCTTATTATATAACTGAAATAGCAAAACTGCCGATAGTCCACCTGTAACAAACCGCTACCTTGCACATGAATATTACGGACATCACGTCTTTATATTCACCTACCATGTAATTTCACTACTATATCACCTTCCGAAATACAGCTTACAATGTAAATTATCTGAAATACACAAATGTGAATAGGTATTATTTGAGCTTGCGTGTAACAGCTTAGACCACATCATCACTTAACATCAGGTGAGATTGCGGTCAAACGCGCTCAAATTATGATATAAAAAAAAAATGTCAGTGTAAAAGCTGGATTGGTAAATATAATAATATAAAAACTCGCGAAGGTTGTGGACTTATTGATTATTTATCGAAAGTCCTAAACAACGTTACGATTTTCAGAAGTCAATATTACGAGTATATTTTGTGAAGAGCGTATGACGTACGGTGCGTCAAGGCGTGACACCCTTTATAATGAGTAATACGCTATGGAGTTGCGTCAGCTCAACAAACGGTGAGCCACGCTGCGCCGTGCCGCGTCGCGTCGTTATCGGACGCCTAGTCGCGCTCTGCCATGGATATAAATAGATTTTGCATGTTTGCATACAAACTTTTGGAACTAACTATTTGGAAGTAACTAAAGCGTATACCAACTCGAATTCCAGCTATAATATTCGTGGAACTGTACAAAATTCCCCGAAAGTAAAGGTGGAATACAAATATAATCTTTCAAATTTAATTCGACTAGTTCTACTTTGCTTCATGGTGAATTTCATGAATTTATTATAGCTTGCCTTGAGTTAGTATACCATCGTTGATCTTTACCACTTCCTCTGTATATATACGTACGTAGTATATGTACATAGAAAATAGGTTTCACGACCTGTATATGTATAGAAAATAGGTCTTCATGACTCGGCACCTATGACATTCGTGCAAAAATTTGTTGTTGACTAACTTTTACAATCATAGAAGTAGTATGTCAATAAAAATAACCTTGACATGATATCAAACCTTAGCAAGAGATAGATAAATAATTAATGCTGATAAGAACAATGCAGTTATACTATAATCTCTACCAATTGTCTAATATTTTTGTTTATATATAAATATATATATATAAACAAGTTTTACTTTATGAAATTTTGTTTTTAATTAATAATTTACTTATACGCTAAGTAATAGTGTAAATATAAAAATGGGTTTGCTTATTTGATACAATTTAATTAATAATATCTACCTACAAGCATTTTAATATATCAGACACAATATTTAAAATGGAAAACAACATAGATAGATGTATCTGCTATACGCCCCAGGTTTTTAGCTGTAAGTGTGTAGAGAAGCAATCTATTCTATAACCACTACTAAATGCTCTCTAAACCAGGGCTTATTAATTCAGATGCGTGGATAGACGTCTAAAACTTAATAATAACAACCGGTTTATGAATGAATAACATTGATCTGTCACGATCAAGGATCTATTGTTCCAATTTATATATTTTTCTCTTCACAAGATAATAAACATAGTAATGTTCAACTTATGTACAATAATTGTAATATTTGATACAATATATGTATATAGTTACATAAAATAACCATTTAATTTGTAATAGTGTAATTTTATTTATTATTATAAATAATTATATACAATTGTAAATCCGATATATTTATGAGATTTTACTGTTTATAGTAGTGACCATTCTTTTACTTAACATATCGTTATGAATTTACACTATTATTTTGTTTTACATCACTGAATTAGTAAGCAATCCGACGGTCCACCTGACGGTTACAACTTGTAACCGTCGCCTATATACAAGAACAACCATGTTGTGATACTCATAAAAAATGCCATGCTTTGATATTCTACAGAAAATAGGAGTCATGCCATCATACTCATTACTAAGTAATTTTTAGTACCTGAAGTCCCAAACATGTGTAATAGAGGTAATACTCATACCCACACTATAACCTAGGAATCTATTGTAGAAAATTATTAAAACTAATAGATAAAAAGGCTCGAGTAATAATTTGAGTCTACAGTTAGAACGAACGAAATATAATTATTCAAAATGGTCCAAAGACAGTTTTTTATTAATTACAATTGAAGTAACGTATTCAGAACTAGTCTAAAAGTAATAACCTTTATAAATTATAAGATTAAACAAAATCATGTAGGTCAAGAACGGTGTTGATTACATGGAGTACTTACGCCAAGATAACCATATGTATTCAACGATACATTAGTTAATTAGTTGATGACACTCCTATTTAACTACAGTATCAGGTCATTTCTAAACCAAAACTTTGAGAATATTCGAAATTCGATTCACCGCACAACTCCACAATTGACTCTACATTACCCATATCATATCACAAATTTTATATCACAAAATGTTGATGACTCTACAATTCAATAGTAAATATTTTACTAATGTAAAACATATGTTTCACTATATTTATATATATATATATATAAATTACATAACTGTAATACTTGTAATGTAAAAACGTGCGATTCTTAGTATATATTTTGCATAATGAAGAGATTCTTTCCTCTGTCAGTAAAAACTGAGTCAGATAATTTCTACGGTATTTGTATATCTGTTCACATGATAAAGGTGCTCTACATATGTATTATTTATTTGCGAACGTAAGACTACTAATTAGGGAGAGTAATTTTTTTGATACATATACTAATTTGACGAGGTAAGGTGCGGTATTCACTAACTTTATTGTAATGTTTACATTGCTGATAGAAAATTGTTTTCATTAGATAATTAATTAAGATAATTTATAGATAATTATGAAATAACATATTATGTATTTGTGTACATAAGACAACTTTCTTTGAGTATGCCTTATATAGATATATGTATCTGATACTAGCTGTGCCCGCGGCTTCACCCGCGTAAAATTTAAAGGTATGTTATTCTGATGTATGAGCTATATTACTGTAATGTTTCATGAAAATCCGTTCAGTAGTTTTTGCGTGAGAGTAATAAACATTAATACAATATACAATAAAAACATATACATATGTATATTCAGTTAAGATATGTTATATCATTTATTCTCAATTTTTAAATTATTTTACACTTACCGGATGACAGGCGTCTTAGGGCATCCTCAGATGGGTTTGAGCGTCCCAGCATGTTTCAAACTAATCTTCATTCCTGTGCAGCGACTCTCTCTCTCTAGGTGTATATTGGCGTCTCGTACATCTTCCACCCTTTCTCCTATTTATTCTTCCTTTCACTTTCCCTAACATGGCAGTAAACAAGAAAAAGAAACCGTTGCAACATCGTATGCATGGCCACTTAAAGTGCATCTCGCTAACATTCGAGGTTTACACTCAAATATCAATTTCATTCACTATAATCATGAAACCACCTCATATACCTCATAAACTACATTGTTAACACACAAATCAAAAATCCAGCAGACTCATCCCAATTGCGCAAAATACTTATTAAATGCAATTTAGAGCGGTGTAGTAAAAAGCTAGTTTTTAATATATTATTAAATAACATTTTATCTATTACCTAGGTTTGCATAATTTATCTACATATAAATAAAATTGGAATGTCTGTTTGTAATATTCAAATAACCGTTTTAAAAACACCAAAATAATTTTTTTTACAATTTTTCTGTCTGTTTGTTCCGGCTAATCTCTGAAATGGCTGGACCGATTTTGACGGGACTTTCTTTGGCAGGTAGCTGTTGTAATAAGGAGTAACTTAGGCTACTTTATTTTATTAAAAGAAAGCTAAATTCCACGCGGACGAAGTCGCGAGTACATCTTTAATTTTAAGATTAGATTTATTTTTAAATATGTATCTATTGATAAAATATTGTTTATATATATCATGTTATAATAATTTTCATCCTTCTATAATAAAAGTACATGTATTGGGAAGGAACTGGCTTCTGTCATACGGCTAATGCTAGTTCAGAAGCCAGGACTACACATAAATACTGAAAGGATTGATATTGTCTGGAATGTGTACCTATTGTATAAATAATATTGTAACGATCCTTCTGAATTTAATAAAGATTATTATTATTATTATTATTAATCTAGTTATATAAAAAATACCTATAATGTACCTAAAATGCCGTCAGTAGCATTGTCAAAAGTAAACTCTTTTCCTGTACAATTTGTACCCGGCTTAAAATCATGAGTCAATTCTTTACATAATAAATTAGATAATCTATATGTCATAGGTATGTATACAGTTACATTCTACAGCATTCGCACTAAAATGATGCAACAAATTATTGTTATTTCACCTCATCATAAAACAGTAGACTTTAAGAAGTACTCAGCTATAGAGCTGAATAATTTGCTAAAAATTGTCAAATTCCTTTTCTTATCATTATTTTTGGAAAAATCTACTGATTCATTCATGGGCACTGCTATATAAATATCGCTGTATGTGCATGTGGCGCTGTCATGAACTATTTTTAGATGCCACATATTATTTTCAGTGTTTGAGTCAAATTGAAACCTGTTAAATATCTTCTAAGTTACGTCGTTGCTATAACGACGTGTTATCAGTCAACAAATCGAATTTGAATTACTAACTTTGTTATTAAATAAGTTAGTATAGTTATTGATAGTGCAAAACGTACTAGGTCACAAAAGCCACTCATGCATTATCTATTCTTCATGGTTGTCTGATATATCATATGCATTTTTAGTTAAGCTAACAACATAAAATGCTAATATTTTATGATGAGGCAATAAGGGCAGCGTATTGCTTTTAGCGTACAAGAAAGTCGCTGGCTCCGATAGCCGACTGCTCATTCTCATTATAACTTGCGTGCGGTGCGATCGTGTGCTGCCGCTAAATTTAAACACGTGGCTAGTCTTGAATCGGGCATTAAATCTAACCTAAAACTTCATCGGCAACATCATCAGCATCATAGTTTGTTAAGGTGAGTGAATTTAATTATGTTTTAGATGTTTAAGGTTTGGTAAAAATAAATGTATGACATATTTGTGTAATCGATCAAATCGTGTGAGCTTTGACGAACCACATGACAATATTACCACTAGTAGATACATCGCACTGTGTGTACCACATTCAATGGCTTTTTATATAATATATAATGAACGAGACATATTTTAATTTCGTATATTCTGCTTAACTGTATTTTTATACTACATAAACAATGCGGTTGTTTATATCGAGAGTAATGTTCGAGTTCATATAAAGTTAGAAAAGGCGGAAATATGATATCCAACATTTAAATAATAGAAATATAAAAGGAAATTAATGGCTGTGCTTGTGATATCCTTAAATAAATAAGTATATTTTATTCATGTCTTCATTACAAAAACATAACCAGCTTAACTTTAAATTCCCGAAAGAAGCCACACAGTTTAGTCTCTACCTGCGAACGAGTTCTACGTCTAAACAATGACTGAATTCTTCGAATTGCATTCAACAGACTTTTACAAATGTATTTCTGTGAAATTTTAAAGAACTTTACATTACTTTTACTTTAGGTATATTTTTTAACATAATGTTGAATGAAAGATGTGTTCTATAGAATCGTAATCAAGTAAATTGTTTTGGATTTTATATTACCTAAATGACACCGTGTTGAAGATACCGGATTTTTCTATGGTTTTAATATCGTGTAACATTAATGAAAAAATCTCCAAAATTGGTTTAAGCTATGGTTGATGTATATGTAAATGTACAAAATTTGTTAATAAATTAAGTGCAGTATTTTTACCCGGAATACCCAGTTACCTACACTACTAGAATGTTTAAGATAATTGAAATTAATACCTACTCACTTGTATATATAATAATTTATATTATGCAAAATAATCGATCACACAATGAAAGAAATATGTCTAAATATGAAGCGAAATTACTAGTAAAATAAATCAAATACCTATTGTATTCTTCCTAAAAAAATGTTAATAATACATGCAAAAATGATTTCTGATATTGTTCTAAATTAGTTAATACCAATTACTATTTGTAAAACAACATTCGTTATAACATAGATCACCAAAATAAAAACAACGTTAATATACAGCGTATAAATATACTGGCTTTGGTTTAAGTCTATTATCTTATTTTAACTATTTATTATATTATTACTACATATATTATACTAATTTGTGAGTGCAGCAGGCACTCAAAACCCGCGGAAGGACTTATGGAGCGGCTGAAGGCCTATTCCCGCCTGAAGCATACGATTTTAGTCTGAGGGTACAGCTAGGGTTTCGAACCTCGGTTCAGGCCGTCGTAATATCGATCCTCGTTTGAATTGGACAAGGGATCGATCGGAAGGGTGACCGGGGGCACTGGTGTGTAGCGCCCGACTGATTGAGTGAAATAGTGTGTTTGGAGTCGTCGTCTTCGCCAGCGAGGACGGTGTCGTGTGTGTGTGTAAAAGTGTGGTCGGGACGGAGGAAGGTTTATATGTATAATACATGTACACCCGTGGGAAACCGGGGCAGGTAGCTAGTAGTAATATATTAATAATAGCGGTACGATGGAAATAGCAAACAGATTTAGATGTATGAGTGAAAACTATAATATTATCTGATATTGTAATAACAAGATATCATTAAAACATTTGAAACTTCATAATCTTAAAGCAAAAATAAATTGTGTAACTCATATAATGAATAATAATCACTGTGTGTAATCGTTATCTATAAATTTTAATATGTTTTGTACTCTGATTTATAACAATTTTATGAATAAAAACAATATAATATCTTGGCAGTTGTCATATAAATTATATACTTAATATAGCAGTCAGCAATGAAGTATTACTTGACACTAGGTCGCTATTGTTTATGTACCCATCTGTACAAAGGTAGACAAAACATTATTGAAAACCAAGGTAAAGATAGACATTTTTTTAATACTTTAAATTGTTGTCATGTCAATGACTCGTAAACTATACCCGCCCATGGCGGCATGGTTTTAATAAATTAAATACCCTACATGGATAATGCATTTATTACAACTAGTAATGAGAGTAACCAGGGTGCTACCTGGGGATATTGAGTTTATTTGAATAAAGATTATTTCTATTTCATATAATTGCAATTTAAATGAAATAGAAATAATCTTTATTACCCCGAAAAAAATCTAATAAATTGTAGCTAATAACAAACTCGTTCAAGTCAGAAAAAAAATTAAATATAAACAGGCATTATAAAATCATTCGTTTAGTTTTGAAGCTAGACATCGACATTTACATACAAACTTATAAAATTCCTCTTTATGTGTCAGGGGTTAAAAAGTGATGACATATAAATATTTATGATATCCCATTATTTAACTACAACTGTCTAATTAGAGTTAATTTTTATTATCGAATACGTTATAATTGTCTGTGTTTGTTTGATATAGTCACAGTTAAAAGTAGCGAACTTGATAAAACAAAAATGGGTGGCTGAAAATAGTTATTGGCGATTTCGCGCCAATAACATATGTATTTATAAGTACGGATATCTCGCATTGGCAATGAAAATATTACAGAATAGCAATACTTTATATTATTTACTGAAAGTCAGTGGAGCCCGACACTTCGTTTTATAGATGTCAAGTATCGAAGATTATCAAATGTCAACAACGTAAAAACATATATTTGACGCTATTAATTCTTTTAGTAAATTAATTAATAATGAATGATTTTTGAAGTTTTGAAAATATTTACAAAGTTAATTATTTCAACACTATAGCTAATGGAATCGGAAAAAAACACTCCCTGCGATGTTCTCCATTTTCTGTTGACACATATTTTACATTTTTTAATTTCACTGTAATATTAACAGTCGTTTTTAAAAAAATAACACACAAATAAGCGTAAAAATTTCCCTTCGTCGCGTTTCTAGAATTTTATTGTAAAAATCATTAAGTTATGCAATCATTTTTAATCAAATCAATTCCTTATCTAATTTTCACTTTTGCGCTCTTTGCCACTACAATTTATTTACCATGAAGTTTAGGTGTATTTTCTCTAATTGTCCGTATGTTAACAACGGTGTAAGATTTTATTCATTTCCAGAGTAGACATTGCAAATATATATTAAAATTTATAGCCTGTGTTATACTATGGTATAAACTATATCACTGTAAAGTTTAATCTAAATCCGTTCAGTAGTATTTGCGTGAAAGAGTAACAAACCATCAATACTCACAAACTTTCGCGTTTATAATATTGATAAGTTAAGGTACCTTTTAAAAACTTACATAACGCTGCTCTAAATACGGTAATTGTTGTAATTTATAATCATTTCGATAATAATTAGTTAATGATGGTAGTTCTTAGTAATTTTGGGACACTATTAGCTAGAACACATTTTGTAATACACGACCTGCATGTCGTTGGTATTTATGAACTTGGAAAAACTGTGCAATAAAATAGGTTTTTTTATGTAAATAGACAAAAAAGTTGACGGCCGATCTAATAGTAGAGCCCTCACCTATTCAGTAACAGGTAAACGTTTTAATGCCTTTGTGTTTGGTGTCCCCAAGCTTCGAATTCTCTTCTAATCCCCAGGCCCGCAATATACATGAAAGTGTTTTTTTAAACTTAGTATTTTCGGCTCACCTGTAGTAATTATACATCTGAACTCAGTCAGCAGTTCTCATTATATTGTTAGTAAAACGAAAATAGAATACGGAATCTTTAGCATCGTAATGAAATGAGGATAGCTCTTCCCGGTTTTTTCTGATGCCAACAAGGATATATATTTCGTAGAGAATAATTTAGAAACAATGTCTCTACTTATATTATTCTTCTAAAATAAATTAATTTCCTTTTCAGTATATAGAATATAGAAAAAGAGACGTTGAAAAGTAGAGCTCTTATTTGTACGTACATTACATTATTACACTATAAATAATGATATAAAGGTCTTAACTATTGACTTCTAACCTACTTGGTAATAAATACAAATAACGTTTGTATTACGAGTAAATTTTTAGGACTGTTAACAAAATCAGTTTACTTTTGAATTAAATAAAATATTTGATTACTTCGTCCTTAAGAAGAATTTATGCGTATGGCGATCTCGGTGGTATAGTGGTTTAGCACATTGCTTTACTTCCGATGGTCACGGGTTCGATTTCTCGCAAGATGTAAACATTTGTATTTATGAGTATCATTGTTTATATATGTATATATTTACAAAAAATATATATAAGTATTTGCAGCAGTTGTCTGGTAGTCAGAATACAAGTTTTGTTGACTTGAGACTAGATGGCGCTGTGGGAATTGTCCTAGCTTATTATTATTATCATACAAACTTTGTACACTATACTCATATATATTTCCAAATTGGGTACTATTATTACTAAAACCACAGATAATATAATATTACATACTAACACTAACAACAAAGTATCTATGTAGATCTGAATTAATTAATTTAATATAACTTTTTTTTTAATTTGAACATATCCAACAAGGAATACGAAATACTGCTTTAATTAATCATTCACAATTTATTATTCAACTGGTCATTATTGTTAAATAATTGTGCGCACGTGTGTTGGCGTGTCGCTCGCTATGGTATTATTTTATAAACAAACTTTCTTTGTCTTTAATTATGTATTTCATTATAGATACTGATCAATAATCATTATCTTTCTAATAATCGATAAACTCTACCTTAAATTAATTTTAATGACTCAGTGTGTTTGCGAAAATAAATGAAAGAAGTATGTAGATGGGTCGTAAATTAAAAAGTACAATATCCAACATATCTACAATTGTATGTATAGTGCTACCTAATTATCTATATGTAAATTGTAAAAACCAGTGACCTTACACTGGTCAACCTTGAACAACTTATCTTCATATTGGCAAAGATCAACTAAAATATTTTTCACGAACCTCTATAGTGTACCTACTTAGTATATAATATTATATACAAATATATACTTATATAT